GTGTGTGTGTGTGTGTGTGCGTTTGTGTGTGTGTGTGCGTTTGTGTGCGTTTGTATGTGTTTGTGTGAGTTTGTGTGTTTGTGTGTGTTTGTGTGTTTGTATGTGTTTGTGTGTGTTTGTGTGTTTGTGTGTGTTTGTATGTGTTTGTGTGCGTTTGTGTGCGTTTGTGTGCGTTTGTGTGTGTGTGTGCGTTTGTATGTGTTTGTGTGCGTTTGTGTTCTGCCCGGTGGTGCAGTTGCACCTTGCGGCCCCACTCTTTTTTTTTATCGCGTTTCATTTTTTTCCCTCCGGAATCACCCGGTTTTTCGCTTTTTTTCCCTGCTTCTTCTTCTTCTCCTTCGTGCAATTGTCTCGCACACCCCCCCCTCCCCTGCACGCCGGGCGCCGCGGAGGCAGCTGATAGAAAACCCGCAATCACTTGAAGTTTATAAGACAAAACTTAAAGCAAAAAAAAACAACAACAACAACAAAACAAAAAGAAGGAAATAAAACGACTTGAAGGCCGCCCAGCGAAAAAAGTGTGCGAGGGGCGACGAAGTAGACACTTCTGCGGGAGAGCAGACTTTCACTCATTTCGAAGGCCGTTAATTTTCAACTCTCGGTGTTGTTTGTTTGTTTGTTTGTTTGTTTGTTTGTTTGCTGGTCCGTTGAGGGCGCTGAAAAAAAAAATTCATTGAAGCCTCGTTGGCGGTGGCTCTCGACGGATTCGCTCGCTCGCGCCGCCCGTGCGTCGTTGCCGAGATGGACGTGTTGTTCGACCTCTACACGGCCGTGCTGCCGGTGGACCGCGACTCGGTGTCGCACCAGCTGTTCACCTTCTGGCTGATGCTCAGCACCGGGGGCGTCCTGCTCTACCTCTGCTGCGCCGCGCTCTCGACCTTCATCTTCTTCGTCGAGTTCGAGGAGACGTACTTCCCCCGCACGATTGACAAGGGAAGGCAGAGGCACGAGCTGCGGCGGCAGATGACGCACGAGATATTCATCGCAGTCCTCTCCATTCCATTCATTGCGGTGCTCATGGCCCCCGCCTCCACCCTCACGCAGCGTGGGTACAGCAAAATTTACCACAACGTCTCTGACTACGGCTGGCCGTACTTGTGCTTCAGCGTGGTGTTGTTCTTTGTCTTCACAGACTTCATGGTGTACTGGTTTCACCGCGGCCTGCACCACCCGACCTTTTACCGGTACCTCCACAAGCTGCACCACACCTACAAGTACACCACGCCCTTTTCCTCCCACGCGTTTAACCCCTGCGACGGCTTTGGGCAGGGGGTGCCGTACTACATCTTCACCTTCCTCTTCCCCATGCACCACTACCTCTTCCTCTTTCTCTTCTTCGTCGTCAACATGTGGACGATCTCGATTCACGACCAGGTGGACTTTGGTGGGCACTTTGTGAACACCACCGGCCACCACACGATCCACCACGTGTTGTTCAACTACGACTACGGGCAGTACTTCACCGTCTGGGACCGCATCGGCGGAACCTACAAGCCGGCCGTTCAGACGCATCGGTTTCCGCTATTCACAAAGGGCGGACGCATCGAGGACGACAAGCCGGCCGGCAAGAAGCTGTGATCAACCAGAGTGATCGCAAACGCAGAGTCATAGGGAACGGAAACTGTAGGGAAAAACGGCATACATGCGCAGGTACACGGTACATATACGGTTGCTTTTATGCCTGTATGCATGGGTGTTTACTGCGTGAATGGGCGGAGGTTGTGGTGGGCTGCTGTGGACGGGGGTGGGGGGGGGGAATGGAAATATGCCTCCCCCGCGGCTCAAGTGCGGCAGGACTAGCGGTCGCACCAACGGCGTAGACTCTGACGAGGAATGAAGGGGGCAGACAAAAGGAAAAAGGGGATGGGGGAAGCAAAGGGGGAGGACACGACATAAAAACGTGCAATGAGAACAGCGGCGTCAGTCATGCGGGCGACGATGGTGGAAATCGCGTGGATGGCTGATGGTGGTGGGGTTCCTCCCCGCCACCACCGCATTGGTGGGACCTCAACAATGTACACCGAGCAAGAAGTTTGGGGCAACCGGGGACTCTCAACACGCGCGAGATGGAGAGTGCGGGGCCTCAACACCCTCTCTCGCTCTCTTTCTACCTCTATATGTAATACGTTTCGCGTACATTTAACCTAAGCATGCGTTTGTTGGGGGCTTTTTTCTGCCTCTTGCGAGGAAACGTTCGACAAGAGAAGTCTTCAGGGAGTGTGAATGCGTCGCACCCGCAGCGCCGTGATGAATTCCCACAGTAAAACGTTTTTATTTGTATTCCGCTTGTAAAAGCTTTTGTTTTTATTTTTATTTTTCTTCCTTCGGATGCGCCTCTTCTGCTTGTTGTTTGCATGTGGCTTGCATGCATCACCCATAATTCCATGCGAGCTGTGTTGGAGCGGGTCCCTGCACGGGGCCCACGCCCAGACGCAAAGCCTCCTCCCCGCCCCATCGCACGCAGACACCTGCGGAGGGGGGCGGCAGCGCACAGCAGGCAGCAGTAGGGCGGGCGCAAGGAAAAGGAGTAGGCAGAGAAGCAATGAGAGGTGGGGTGCGTAGGATACGAGGAGTAAAGTAAAGTAAAAAAAAAAGGGCGATGCAATAGAGAAGGAAGGAGGGATAGGAGGAGAAAGGGCAGCGGGCAACAAGTTGTACTACGGGCAAAGAGGTGGTGGGGACAGAGTTTGTGTGTGTGTGTGTGTGTTTGGGCATAGGGGATACATCCGCCTCGCTCGCTCTGCATCCCCGATAAACCAACCAAAAATAGAAGGAGTGAGGAAAGCGAAGAAAAGAAAAAAAACTAAAGCGAAGAAGCGTTTGCATGGCGTATGTGCTTTTTGAGGCAGCTTACACGGCAATACCAGCAAAAGGTAAAAAAGAAGGAAAAATAAAAAAAAACTACAGGCGGGAAGGCGGGAGGACGCAGTGAGGGAGAATTAACATTGACTGGGGAGGGGGGAGGGGGGAATTCTTATTTTTATTAAATTTTACTTTTCCGCCTCCGTTTATTCCCGCGTTGTGGGGGCCTGACGAGACTTTCATCTGTGCGTTCCGGCCGCCCCTTTTTTGTTACTACTGTTTGTGTGTTCGTTTGGGTTGTTGTTGTCGTCTTTTTTTTTGTAGAGGCTTCTGGAGGGGGGGTGGCGGCCGGGGTGCGGCCGAGCAACTCTCGCGGGGGATCTTGCTGGCCTCTCCCCCGTTGGATTTGTTGGTTGCCTCATTTTTGTTTCCCCCGCGGACGCGTGGGAGTGTGGCGGGGGCGCAGTTGTTTCTTCTGCTTCTTCTTTTCCCCCGCCGCTGCCGGCACACGCGCGCACGCACGGCCTCCCCGCGGAGGAAGGCGCCCCGCGGCGGCGGCGGCGGCGGCGGCGGAGCCCCACAGACCACCACCGCGTGCGCTTCCAACGTGGGCCCGGCCAGCACACACGCGTCCTCCCTGAATTCCTTGCTTTTTTGCTTGCCTGTTTGTTGTGTGGTAAACTGCAGGGGATAAGCCTCTTTTGGACTGCGGGTCTGCCGCGGGGGCGCCAGGGCAAAGTGCGGCCTCCCACTCTGGGCCCCGCCCACTTTGTAGGAATACAGGCCGCGAGGTTTAAACCCGTGTGTCGCACATTCCGTTTCTGCGCCTCTCTCTTTCTCTCCGTGGTGTGACTTTTTTGTAGCGTCAGAATTTTGTCACCCCCCCCTTCCCGCTGACTGCGCCTGGTGCCTGCCCTTCGTTTTTTTTTTACTATTTTTTTCTTGTTTTCTCCCTCCTCCTCCTCCTCGCCGTCGTGCGCAGTGTTTTTGGCGCATCTTTGCTTCTTCCTCTCTGTGCCTCCGTGTCCTTCGCCAGGGTGTGGAATACCCGCCGCCTGCTGCCTTTTTTTTTTGCTTCTCTCCCTCCCCTCTATTTTGCCTGTCTGCGCCCCGTGCGGTTGCCGCGCGGCGGGGGGCTGCGGGAAGTCTGCAGCGCAGAGAAGAAAAGAGGGGACACACACACACACACAAACACCGCGTGTGTGTCTGTGCGTGCGGCGTTGTGCAGGCGGCTGCATACACTATTGAACGCCCGCACTGCGGCGGCCGCCGGCAGGCGCACGAAGTAGGAGGAGAGAACAACAAAAAAAAGGAGGGAGGGAGGGGGAAGAAGAAAGAAGAAAGAAAGCAAAAAGAAGAGGGAAGGAAAGCCAAGAGGAAGAAAAAGCAAAGGCGAGTGCAAGAGATTCGCCGTCGGCGAGGCAGTGCGTGGTGCCGTGTACCCGCAAGGCGCCACTCCGAGGGAGGCGGTGAAAGGGCAGTCTGGGGCCGCAGCGGCGGGAACAAAGTATTAATTAGAGGGCTCCACCCGTCCACCAGCGCAGGCGGAGAGGCAAGGAGAGAGGAGGCAAAAAGCAGAGCATACAACGAAAGGAAAAAAACAAAAAAGAAGAGAAGCGAAACGAAAGTGGTGGTGAGGACAAATGACGTCTCACGTGAAGTTTGACCTGGTGCAGCAGGGGGTGGTCCCGGAGAGTCACCCGGAGTGCACCGCGTGGATGCTGCGGCGACTGCAGGAGGAGCTCCAGTGCGGCGAGGGCGACGTCACGAGCAAGCAGCTCCGCCTCATCAGTGAGTTTCTCGTCGGGGATGAGGAGCTCCACACGATATTTTGCTTCTACCACGCGGTTGTGGCGGAGCCCCCCGCGGAGGGCGACGAGGAGGCCCCCACGCTGAAGTTTGAGGGCGAGACGCTGGTGCAGGAGTTGTGCGTCGTCGACGGGGTCCAGGGACTCTCGGAGCGTGCCACGATGGACGGCATGTGCACCGATGTGCTTTACTTTGTGCGGCTTGATCCCGACCGCCTGATTGTGCCGGAGAACATTGACAACGCCGTTGCGTGGGGCACGTGTCGGGGTGGAAACCTGCTAGAGTCGTTGCTGCGCACACTGCAGTTTGTGCTCACGCCCACGCTGCTGCATAACCGGTGGCCCGACAGCATCGAGAAGGACGTGCACGCCGCGCTGCACCGCTTCATGGCGGCCATGACGGAGAACGTCAACCGACTGCGCGGGCGCACCGTGCTGTACGTCCCAAGTGACCTTGCCACAGGGATAGGCATCGAGGAGGCCCACCTCGACCGCGAAATTGTTCAGCGCTTTGAGGCTGCGGCGATTCATTGGACGCGGCAGATCAAGGAGGTCGTCGGCGACAAGGACGTCGGCCTCAGCGGCGACGCCGGAGGGCCATTGGAGGAGATCGCCTATTGGCGCTCCCGCGCCCGTGACCTGGGAAACATCCGTGCCCAGCTGAATCGCCCAGATGTCTCTAGTATCGTGCAGGTCTTGCGGGAGGCAAAGTCCTTCTACTACCTGGAGCCCTTCTTGAATCTGCGGGCGGACATTGAAAAGGGCACCGAGGAGGCGTTTGACAACCTGCGCTTTTTGAACACGCTGCTGGAGCCATGCACGAAGCTGTCAAAGGCCTCTCCAAAGGAGATTCCAGCGCTGATTCCCGACGTACTCATTCATGCGCAGCTTATTCTGATTTACTCCAAAAGCTACAAGAAGGAACGCTTTTTCCGGCTACTCCGCATGATCTCCAATGAGATTATCTACCGCTGCAGTCAGAAGATTGATGTGCCGGCCATTCTCGACGGGGACGTCGCCGACAGCATGGTGGCACTGCAGGACAGCGTCACGGCGGGGGAGGCGTGGATTCGGGAGTGCCATAAAATGCTCACGGCCACGCGGAAGAGGTTCCGCATGGAGAAGGGTGAGAAACTTGACATGGATGAGTCGTTTTTAAACGAAATCGATGGGTTCGTGCGGCACCGTTGCCAGAACTTGCATGAGATTTGCAAGGCGCAACTGCAGTTTGGGTTTAAGGGCGTTCGCAGCGATCAGCGGCGGAGCAGCGAGCGCGCCGGTGCGGGCCGCCACGGCCGCAGCTCACGCGGCGGCTCCGTGACGGATCGCCGCGCCTGCGGCGGCGACGCCCACTACGGCGTCCCCATTGAGGTGCGGGAGCTGGACCATCGGAGCGGCACCCTGGCGGAGCTCTTCTCCGGCCGGCTGCCCATCTTCAGCGGCAACCGGGGACCCGAGATTGAGTCGCAGCTTGTGGACATCCAGCGGGCCTTCAAGGCGAAGATGGAGACGCTGCGTCACCTTGACTACGACATCCTCGACGTCAAGTCCACCCGCTGGGTCGACGACTTCCGTGCACTGAAGGTGGACATTGACAACCTCTCCATGATGCTGCAACAGATCATCGCGGTGGCGTTTGACAGCTTCAGCACCACAGAGATGGGGGCGGAGTACATCGAGGCCTTCTACATGGTGGCGCGGGGCGAGGAGCTGCTGCTGCAGCTGGACCGCAGCAAGGACCGCGTCTTTCGCATGGTCGGCGCGGGGGTCTCACTGGTGCAGGGGAAGCTCCAACGGTACTTCAACAAGCCGCCGCCCATTTTCTACCTCCACCCCCCACTCGCGGGGCACGCCATGTGGTCGGAGAACCTCGCCTGCTTCCTGGAGAGTAGCCTGAGAGAGCTGAGCCGTTGCTACTACCTGCGCGAGTCGCCGGAGTCGGCGGAGGTCATGCTTCTCTTTGACCGCCTGGATCGCTCGCTGCGCGAGAAGGTGCGCCAGAACTACCTGGAATGGAAGACCAACTTGGTGGCAAATCCCAGCGAGTACCTGGATCGCTTTCTCATCACAAAGCGTGCAGTGCCTGCCAAGAACACGCCTGCGCTCTACGATGTAAACTTTTCGCCGGAGCTGCTTCTCCTTTTCGCGGAGGCGCGCTACTGGCAGAGCCTGGGTGAGATTGTCCCGGCACACATCTTTGATATTGTCTCTAAGGAGGAACGCCTGCACGTGTTCCGCGAGCACGTCGCGTTGGCGGTGCGGGCGCACAACAATGTGGTGTTTTCACTGACAAGGGAGGAGTGTCGTCTGTTTGCGCTGCGACTGGCTTTCCTGGAGAGCAAGTACATGCCCGGCATGACGCGCCTGTGCTGGAACTCGCAGGGTATTGTGGAGTACTTTGTGCGGGAGTGCCACCAGCAGGCGGAGCGGGTGCAGCACATCGTGGATGAGTTCAAGTACGGCATTGAGTACGTCGACCACCACTGCAAGGCGATCTCCGACACCGTCGCCGTCATCTTTGAGAAGAAGCGCGTGTACACCATTGAGGCCTTTGTGGAGAAGCAGCAAAAGCACCGCGAGGCGGTCCTTGAGAAGCTGCAGACGATACATCAGCGGCTGGTGCACAAGCTGTACGAGTTGCTCGGGTACTTCCGCGACGACTACATGGAGGATGTGGCTGTGCAGACGGAGTGGCACCGGCACATCGCCAAGGTGGAGCTCAAGGTGGAGGAGGCGCTGCGGACGATGGTGAAGCGAACCCTGCAGGCGGTGGAGCGGGCGCTGCCGCAGGAGCCCTCCGACGACCGCATGGAGGAAAAGGTGTTTAAGCTCGACGTTGTGATCAGCGTGACAAACGACACCAAGCCGCAAATTGAGTCGGTCCCCTCCGTCAAGGTGTTGAGCCACCAGGTGAATGAGGTGTGCAAGGAGATCATCGGTATCGTGAAGCATATTCCGCGCCTGGAGGAGAGCCTCCGCGCCTGCATCGCCGAGGAGAGCGCGGGCGAGAACGAGACCCTCAAGCGGACGGCGCTCGAGTACGTGAATCCGGGCGAGGATAGCGTGGCCCTGCGCGGCACCTACTTTGAGTACATGACGAGCGAGCAGGACGCCATTTACTCCCTCTGCCGCATCCGTGAGTCCTTTGAGGCAGTCGAGGAAAAGGTTCGCGACAAGCTGAGCCAGACCTGGCAGCTGCACCAGTCCGGCACCACGGACAGCCTGTGGACGACACAAAAGCAGGATCGCCGTATCAAGCAGGGCTGGAAGCTTGAGGATTACCGGATTCACATGGACCACGTGGCCCAGCGGCGCGAGGGCATCAACAAACAGGAGACCTTCTCAGATGTCCTCTTCCTACAGCTGGACTTCACCAAGATGAAGGAGAGCTTCCGGGTACAGTGCCAGCTGGTGATCAAGCACTACCACAGCCTGCTCTACGCGGACGCCAAGGAGGAGGTGGACCGCATCTACAACCACTTCAGCACGACCGTGAAGGCCCTGACGAAGGAGCCGCAAACGCTAGACGAGCTTGGGGACCAGATCAAGAAGTGCACCTCCGCCGTGGATTCGCTCCCAGAGATTTCCGCTAAGTTTGGCCCCATCAACGACACCTTTGTGCTCATCACGAACGACCTTTACAACCACGGCAACGTGAACCGCGAGGACGTGCGCCGCTGCGAGGAGTTGCCGGCGGCCTTTGAGGAGTACTCGGAGCAGCTTGTCAAGGCCCGCCAGCTGCTGGCTAAGTATAAGGAGCAGTTCCGCAACGATCTGGAGACGGACCTGCGCGCGCTGGTGTCAAACTCTTACGCACTGCGGCAGAAGGTGCGGGATGAGGGGCCGAGGTCGTACGCCTTCTCGACGGCAAACGCCTTTGCGCAGCTGGGCACCCTTGACCGCCGCGCCAGTGAGCTGCGGGAGACAGAGAAGGCGCTGCAGCAGGGGATTGACATCTTTCACCTGGAAAAACCCGTGCTGGATGAGCTGGCGGCCGCCGAGGCGGATCTGAAGGTGCTCCGCACGATTTGGGAGTTGTGTGAGGAGTGGCGCACCGAGAGCCGCAAGTGGCGAACCATGTATTTTATGAACCTCAAGAGCGACACCATGCTGGACGTCTCCGAGCGCATCCGGAGGGAGCTGCTGCGGCTGCGGATGGAGCTGCAGATGACCGATGTCTGGGTGAAGCTGAAGGAGGAGGTGGAGCTGATGAAGCGGTTGCTGCCGATCGTGGACGACCTCCGAACCCCGGCGATTCGGCCCCGCCACTGGGAGTTTCTAAAGCTTCAGCTCGACGCCAAGTTTGACATCTCCGACGAGAAGTTCTGCCTGAATGACTTGATGGAGGCGCGCGTGGAGGCGCAGGCGGAGTTCGTCGTGAACCTCGCCACCTCCGCCCGGGAGGAGATGAAGATTGAGATGGATCTGGAGAAGATCCGCACCTTCTGGGAGGAGGCGGCCTTTACGATCGAGCCCTACCAGGACTACAACAAGATCGCCGGCGTGGACGACATCAACAACGTCCTCGGCGAGCACCTGGCGATGCTGAGCTCGATGAAGATGTCACGGTTCGTGGACAGCTTCCGGCCCAAGGTGGTGCAGTGGGAGCAGATACTCTCCATCGCGACCGACACGATTGAGGCGCTCCTGCTGGTGCAGACCAAGTGGATGTACCTGGAGAACATCTTCATCGGCAGCGAGGACATCAAGCGCAAGCTCGCCGCGGAGTCGAAGAAGTTTGAGGGGGTGCACTCGCAGTGGGTCTCCATCATCATGCGGCTCATCAACGACCCGAACGTGGTGCGCGGCACCCGGCGGGACGGGCTGATGGATCAGCTGAACAGCATGAACAACGACCTCGAGCTGATACAAAAGGGGCTCGAGGGCTTTCTCGAGGATCGCCGGCGCGTCTTTCCCCGCTTCTACTTCCTCTCCAACGATGACCTGCTGGAGATTCTCGGCCACGCGAAGGAGCCCGCCAAGGTGCAGCCCCACCTGCGCAAGTGCTTCGAGGGGTTGTACCGCCTCTCCCTCAAGACGGTGCGGAACCGCGTCGTCGCTGAGGGGATGTCCTCCTCCGACGGGGAGTCGGTGGCGTTTGTCCCCCCCGTCCAGGTCGAGGGGTTGTCGGTGGAGACGTGGCTGCGACGCGTGGAGCTCAAAATGCGGGAGATGGTGCAGAAGCGCATCAACGCCACCCTGGATGATCTGCGGACTGTCTTTGACCCAAAGCGGCCCGTTTCTCGCGACAATTTAAAGGCGTGGGTCGAGCGCAACGAGGGCCAGTCGCTCATCACGGCGGCCTGCATCAACTGGACCTTACTGACGGAGCTCGCCATCATGGAGTACGGGGAGCTACACAGCAACGGCCTCAGCCTGCAGCGTCGAAAGGCCTCCCCACTCTACAAGGTCTACAAGCGATGGAAAGGGTTGATCAAAAAGTACTGCCAACTCGTTCGTCAGCCACAGAGTCGCATGCAGCGGAATAAGCTGGTCGCACTCATCACAATTGAGGTGCACTCACGTGATATTCTGCGACAGGTGCTGGCGTCGCGGGTGCATCAGGAGGACGACTTTGAGTGGTCGCGGCAGCTGCGTTTCTACAAGGAGGATGATGACACGGCGGAGCGGCCCCAGGACGCACCGAAGGTTTGCATCGTGCGACAGACCTCTGCTGTGGTGCGGTACGACTACGAGTATCTCGGAAACAGCGGGCGCCTTGTCGTTACAGGACTGACAGACCGTGCATACATGACCCTGACGACGGCGCTGCAGCTGCATCGCGGTGGCCTTCCGCAAGGTCCTGCAGGGACGGGCAAGACGGAGACGGTGAAAGACCTTGGGAAAGGCCTTGGCAAGTACGTCATGGTGTTTAACTGTTCGGACGGCCTCGACTACAAGTCGGTGGGGCGCATGTTGAGCGGCATTGCCCAAACAGGCTCCTGGTCCTGCTTTGACGAGTTCAACCGTATTGAGGTGGAGGTGCTCTCTGTGGTGGCCCAGCAGGTGCTGTCTATCCTCAGCGCCGTGGCGGAGCGGAAGAGCCGCTTCATGTTCGAGGGATCAGACATCTCACTCAACATGAACTGTGGGCTCTTTGTCACGATGAACCCCGGCTACGCGGGCCGGTCCGAGTTGCCCGACAACCTCAAGGCGCTGCTGCGTCCGATTTCCATGATGGTGCCGGACTTTGCACTCATTTGCGAAATCACGTTGCTCTCCGAGGGGTTTGAGGAGTCGGAGGTGCTCTCGAAGAAGGTCTCCATCCTGTACGAGCTGATGGAGAAGCAGCTGTCGAAGCAGGACCACTACGACTTCTCGCTCCGCAACATCAAGGCGGTGCTGGTGCAGGCAGGCAACTTGAAGCGGGAGGGCTTCCCCGGGACGGAGTCGCAGCTCTGCCTGAAGGCCATGCGTGACATGAACTTGCCCAAGTTCGTCAAGGAGGACGTCTCGCTGTTTCTCAGCATGCTGAGCGACCTCTTCCCCGGGGTGCGGCCGGAGGACAGCGGCCTGGACGACCTCCGCGCCGCCGCCGAGAAGCAGCTGCAAAACGAAGGCCTTGAGGCGAATGCGCACATCGTGACCAAAACCCTGCAGCTCTGGGACACCCTCCGCACCCGCCACGGGGTGATGGTGGTGGGACAGACCGGCTCCGGGAAGACGGTGACGTGGCGCAACCTGAGCGGGGCCCTGCGGCTGCTGAAGGAGCGCAACCTGGAGCCCGGCCTGTACGAGCCGGTGCGCGTCTCCCTGCTGAACCCCAAGTCGGTGACGATGGATGAGCTCTACGGCAGCTACAACCAGGCCACGCGGGAGTGGAAGGACGGCATTCTCTCCGAAATCATGCGAAACATCTGCCGCGATGTGACGGACCCAACGTACAAGTGGTTGATGTTTGACGGCCCCGTCGACACCCTCTGGATTGAGTCGATGAACACGGTGCTCGACGACAACAAGATGCTCACCTTGAACTCCGGCGAGCGCATCACCCTCAACCCGACCATACGCATGCTGTTTGAGGTGCAGGACCTCTCCCAGGCCTCCCCCGCCACCGTCTCGCGTTGCGGCATGGTCTACTTCAACGTGGAGGATCTTGGCTGGCAACCGTTTGTGAAGACGTGGCTGAAGTCGCGGTGGAAGTTCGAAATCGCCATGGGCGCCCCGCGGCCGGACGAGACCATTCAGGAGCTGGAGGAGTACATCAAGACAACCGTGACCCGCGTGCTGGAGTACCGCCAGGTGGAGTGCGAGGAGCTCTTCCCCACCTCCACGCTAAACGTCATTCGCTCTTTCACCCGCATGTTTGACGCCCTCGCAAACGTGGACGCCGCCCCGTGCGTTCCCGGCGGCGCCAAGTACGCCACCTCCCACGCCGGGGAGACGTACCTGCCGCAGCTGCGCATCATGGCAACCTTCTGTCTCCTCTGGTCCGCCGGTGGCGCGCTGACGGTGGAGTCGCGCCAGAAGTTGGACGCGTTTATCCGTGAGTTGGACTCCTCCTTCCCCTCCACAGAGACGATCTTTGAGTACTTCCCCGACCTCCGCGTGGTTCAGTGGAAGAACTGGAGCGATCACACGGATCTGCAGAAGCCGTATGTGCCCCCGCCAGAGACCCCCTACCACCGGCAGATTGTCCCAACGGTGGACACGGTGCGGTACCAGTACATTGTTGGGGAGCTGGTGCGCAGTCAGGTGCAGTTGGTGCTGGTCGGCACCACAGGCACAGGGAAGTCCCTCATTGCGCGTCAGGTGCTGCGCAGCCTTAGCACCGACACCCACGTCTCCACGCAGCTGAACTTCTCTGCCCAGACCACGGCAAAGAATGTGCAGGAGATCATTGAGGGGCGTATGGAGCACAAGTCCAAGAAGGTCTGCTGCCCACCAGGCGGCCGTCGCATGATTTGCCTCATCGAGGACCTCAACATGCCGGCGAAGGAGAAGTTCGGCGCCCAGCCCCCGTTGGAGTTGCTGCGGCAGTGGATCGACAACGGGTATTGGTACGACTGCAACACACGCTCGCGGCGGAAGGTGAATGACATGCAGCTTCTCTGCTGCATGACGTACGGCCGGCCAGACATCACCCCTCGTTTGATGACGAAGCTTAACGTGTTTAACATCACCTTCCCGTCGGAGTCGGTGATCACGAAAATCTTTACAGAAATCCTTTCGAATCGCCTGGAGAAGTACCCGGAGCTCCACAAGCTTGTCGACGCCCTCGTGAAGGCCACGCTGCAGACGTACCAGCGCGTCTCCAGTGACCTCCTGCCCATTCCAAGCAAGTCGCACTATCTGTTTAACCTTCGCGACCTCAGCAAGGTGTTCCAGGGCATCTACGGCTGCTACATGGAGGGACTGCAGTGCAAGGAGCACATGGTCGCACTTTGGGTGCACGAGTGCTTCCGCGTCTTCTCTGACCGCATGAACGACCCCAACGACAAGCAGTGGTTCCGCAATCTCATACACGAGAAACTGGCCAACATCTTCCAGATGAAGTGGAGCGGCATCATGCGGGCCCGCTCGCGTGAGGCACGCACGCAGCCGTTGAACGAGAACGAAAGTCCAATTTTTGTCGACTTCTGGGACGGGGAGTATGACGAGATGGCGAAGTACAGGCTGGTGCCGTCGCTGGAAGCCCTCCGTGGGAAGGTGGAGGAGTGCCTGGAGCTCTACAACGGCGAGCCCGGCACACAGCAGATGAACCTCGTCTTCTTCACCGACGCCCTGGAGCATCTCTGCCGCATTCACCGCATCATTCGCTTGCCGCGCGGCAACGCCCTTCTCGTGGGGCTCGGCGGCAGCGGTCGCTACTCCCTCACCCGCCTTGCCACGTACCTCGCCGGCTACACCATCTTCTCCGTGGAGATCCACAAGAAGTACGACTCGGACCGCTTCCACGAGGACCTGCGCTCCCTCTACAAGGCGTGTGGGCTGAAGCTGCAGCAGAAGGTCTTTTACTTCTCCGACAACCAGATCATGCAGCCGTCGTTCCTGGAGGACCTGAACAACATGCTCTCCACCGGCGAGGTGCCCAACCTCTTTCAGAAGGATGAGTTGAACAACATCCGCGACGCCATTTTTAAGGAGGCGATGTTGAACGGCTGCCGCGACAGCATCGATGAAATCTACAACTTCTTCATTGACCGCGCCAGGCTGAATCTGCACCTGGTGGTTGCGATGTCGCCGGCGCATAAGCTTTTCCGCACCCGGCTTCGCCAGTTCCCAGCCCTCGTCTCCTGTACGTCGATCGACTGGTTTGTGAAGTGGCCGAACGAGGCGCTGCGGGAGGTGGGTCTGCGCTACCTGCAGGAGACGCGCGAGAACACGGAGGAGGATGCCGTGCTGGAGGAAATCGCGGACGTCTTTGTGCACATGCACGACACCACCAGTGCCACCTCGGAGGAGATGCTGGAGCAGATCCACCGCTACAACTACGTGACCCCGTCCTCCTACCTCGACCTGGTGCGCGGCTTCCGCAAGCTGCTGACGCAGCGGCGGGAGGACGTCCTTGAGCAGCGCGACAAGCTGAAAAACGGTATGTCAAAGCTAGAGGAGACGAAGCTCGCTGTGGGGAAGATGACGGAGGAGCTAAAGGTGCAGGACGCCAAGCTGCAGGAGAAAACGGAGGAGGTGAACCGGGCGACAGAGAGCATTCAAATTCAGCAGCAGAACGCCGAGGAGCAGCAGAGTTTGCTGGCGTCAGAGAAGGTGAAGATTGAGCAGACGAAGCGGTCCGCGTTGGCGGATCAGGCGGAGGCGCAGGCAGACTTGGATCGGGCGATGCCGACCCTCCTCGAGGCCCAGGCGGCGCTGGATAAGCTTGACAAGAACGACATCAACGAAATTAAGTCCTATAAGACACCCGCGGTGATGATTCGGACGGTGATGGAGGCGGTGCAGACGACCTTGCGGCGCAAACTCGACTGGGATGAGGCGAAGAAGTCTCTCGGGGAGGCTAAATTCATTGACATGCTTAAACACTACCACGAGAACAACGACATGACGGATCAGCGGCTGCTGGACAAGATTGAGAAGTACGTGAAACGCCCCGACTTCACCCCGGCGGCGGCAAGCGCGGTGTCGAAGGCCGCGGGTGGGCTTTGCCAGTGGGTGATCGCCATCCACAAGTACGGCAACATCTACAAGGAGGTCCACCCGAAAATACTGAAGAACGAAAACGCCCAACAGAAGGTTCGGGCGCAGGAGGAGATGCTGCGGCAGAAGGAAGAGAAGCTGCAGCGCATCGTGGATGAGGTGAAGAAGCTCGAGATTGCCCTGCAGTTGAACATTGATGAAAAGACGCGCCTCATGGCGGAGGCAAAGGAGACGCAGATGAAGCTTAACCGCGCCCGCATCATCGTCGACGGCCTTGAAGGCGAGCGGGACCGCTGGACCGAGTCGATCGCCCGCTACGAGGCGGCGCTGGGAAACCTCACCGGCGACACCCTCCTCACCTGCGGCTTCCTCTGCTACTCGGGCGCCTTCACCGCGGAGTACCGGCTGAAGCTGTGGCACAGCTGGATCAAGGAGATTAAGCGGCTGCAGATCCCCATGACGAAGGGCTTTGACTTCGTCGACTTCCTCGCCGACCCCACGGAGGTGCGTGACTGGCAGCAGGCGGGGCTCCCGGGCGACGACTTTAGTCGAGAAAACGGTGCCGTGGTGATGCGGGCCACTCGGTGGCCGCTCATGATTGACCCGCAGCAGCAGGCGATCAAGTGGATCAAGCGCATGGAGAAGGACTGCGGGCTGAAGGTGATTGACCAAAAACAGTCCGACTTCCAGAAGACGGTGGAGTACGCGGTGCACTTTGGCTGCCCACTGCTGCTGCAGGACGTCATGGAGGACATCGACCCTGTGCTGGACTCCGTCCTTGCCAAGGCGTTTGTGCGGCGCGGAACCAAGACGATGCTGAAGATTGGTGACAACTTTGTGGAGTACAACGAGAACTTCAAGCTCTACATCACGACCCGGCTCTCGAACCCGCACTACACGCCGGAGACGTGCACGAAGGTCTGCCTGCTAAACTTTGCGGTGCGGGAGTCGGGGCTGGAGGAGCAGCTGCTGAAGATCGTCGTGGAGAAGGAGAAGCCGGAGCTGGAGCGCGAGAACGAGCAGCTCATCCTCGACACGGCGGCGGCGAAGAAGGAGACGAAGCGTCTCGAGGACGAGATCCTAGACCTCCTCTCCACCTCGCAGGTCTCACTGCTGGAGAACCAGAAGCTTGTCGACACGCTGCAGTCCTCTAAGGTGATTGCCGCAAATATTAAGCAACAATTGAAGGAGGCGGAGGTGACGGCGGAGAAGATCCAAAGCGCACGTGAGCAGTACCGTGAGTGCGCCCGCCGGGCCTCCATCCTGTACTTTGTGCTGGCGGACCTTGGCTCCATTGACGCCATGTACCAATTTGCCTTGGACTCCTACATCATTCTCTTCCAGGGCAGCATCAAGCGCTCGGCGGAGAAAATCTCCACCCACACGTTGGAGGAACGTGTCATGACGCTCAACGACTGGCACACCAACGCCGTGTACGCAAGCACCTGTCGTGGCCTCTTTGAGAAGCACAAGTTGCTCTTTGCGTTTCACATGACGATGCGCATTCTACAGGCGGAGGCCCGCGTGAACCTGGAGGAGTACGTCTTTCTCATGCGTGGTGGGCAGGTGCTGGACAACCAGGGCCGCCTGCCAAACCCCGCCCCAGCGTGGCTCTCCGAGCGGGCATGGAGCCACATCCTCGAGCTGGACAAACTGACGAACTTCCACGGCGTCGCCACCTCCTTCGAACAGGCGCATGAGTCCTGGCGTGACTGGTTCCTGCAGGAAAACCCCGAGGACGCGGACCTGCCCGACGAGTGGAAGTCCCGTACGGCGGATAACTACATCCAGCGCATGATCTTTGTGCGTTGCCTCCGCCCCGACCGCGTCGTATTCATGGTGTACGAGTTCATTGAGAAGCAGCTGGGCGCCCAGTTTGTGGACCCCCCGCCATTCAACCTGAAGGACACCTTTGACGAGAGCACCAACGTCGTGCCACTTGTGTTTGTGCTCTCGCCGGGAGTAGATCCGACGACCCAGCTAGCCTCGCTCGCCCAGCGGGAGGGCCGACACCTGAAGACGCTGGCGCTTGGTCAAGGCCAGGGGGAGAACGCCAAGCGGGCGATTCAGGAGTGCGCGCAGAACGGCGGGTGGGTTTTCCTGGCGAACTGTCACTTGATGGTCTCGTGGCTGGTGGAGTTGGAGAAGATCATCGACGACCTCTCGGAGCAGCGGCCGCATGACGCGTTTCGCCTGTGGCTCAGCTCCGTGCCGACGCCCCAGTTTCCGATTGGGATCCTGCAGCGGGCAATTAAGATGACGACGGAGCCTCCAACGGGTATTAAGTCCAACATGCTGCGCCTCTACAACCAGTTCTCGGAGGAGCAGTTTGTGGAGCACTCCGGCGTGCACCCAAACTTCTACCGTAGTCTTCTCTTCGCGCTCTGCTTCTTTCACTCCGTGCTGCTCGAGCGGCGCAAGTTTGGGAACCTCGGCTACAACGTGGTGTACGACTTCACCTCCTCCGACTTTGAGGTTTCGGAGAACATCATCTCGCTGTACGTCAACTCGATGCCCTCGGACCGCGTGGAGGACATCCCCTTTGTCACGATCCGCTACCTCATCGCGGAGGCCTCCTACGGCGGCCGCGTCACCGACGACTGGGACCGGCGCGTGCTCAACACCTACATCACGCAGTTCATGTGTGAGTCGATTATAACGGAGGAGCGCTACCCGCTTTCCTCAGCCGCGGAGTACTACATTCCTGCCGAGGCCACGAACCTGCAGTCGTACAAGGATGAGTGCATGCAGCTGCCCATCACAGATCCCCCAGAGGCATTTGGGCAGCACGCAAACGCCGACATTTCAAGTCGTGTGGCGGAGTCGACGATGTTGCTAGAGAACCTTATCAGCGTAAATACGACACTGGCGCGCTCCGGTGGCGCAAGCGCAAACTCGGCGAAGGCGGTTTCAGACGAATCCCGCTGTCTCAAAATTCTTGCCTCGTTGGACGAGCCGAGCAAGGCTGCCATCCCGAACCTCATTGACTATGACGCGGTGTATGAGGCTGTCAAGGAGGACTCCCACAACGCCCTTAACACGTGCTTGCTGCAGGAGATTCAGCGGTACAACGTGCTGTTGCGCAAGATTCACGCCCAGAAGATTGAGCTTCGCCGTGCGGTGAAGGGTGAGGTGGTGATGAGTGACGAACTCGAAACGGTGTTCGACGCGCTCCTGCTCGGCCGTGTCCCGCCACCGTGGACGAGCGCATACCCGAGCGTGAAGCCGCTTGCGAGTTGGTCGGTGGACCTCGTCGACCGCGTAGATCAGATGAAGCAGTGGGGGCAGCGCGTGCCAAACGTCTTCTGGCTCTCCGGCTTCACGTACCCGACGGGCTTCCTGAAGAGTCTGCAGCAGCAGCAGGCGCGGCACGACCACATCTCCATTGACCAGTACACCTGGGAGTTTATCGTCCACCCGAGCGATGAGCGCACCGTCGTGCACCGCGCCAGGAAGGGGGCGTACGTTAGGGGCATCTTTCTCGAGGGGGCCGGGTGGAACGCGGAGACGAACACGCTCTGCGAGCCCCGCCCGCTTGAGCTCGTCGTGCCGATGCCTATCATCCACTTTAAGCCGAAGCTGCGGGACAGCAAGCCCCGCTCCCCGTCGATATACGAGTGCCCGCTGTACATGTACCCGGTCCGCACCGGCACGCGCGAGCGGCCGTCGTTTGTTGTGGCCGTTGACCTCCCCTCCGGCGAGGCGGTGCCCGACCACTACACGAAGCGCGGCACGGCGTTGCTGCTCTCCACGGACGAGTAGCTGCAGCCTGTGGTGGGCGGTGTGTGTAGGTGGGAGGGGGGACGGAGGTGTGTAAGAGGGAAGGAAGGAAACCGACAAAAAGAGAGAATGAAAGGGGAAACAAGAACAGCAACACGAGATGCATGAAGGCACACGAGCGGCGAAATAAATAGAGAATGACTAAAGTAAGCGACGCAGAGAAAGAAGTGAAGGGCGCACGGGAGTGGCCACCACTCACTTGTACACACTATACGCACACGCACAGTTATATATATATATATATTAAGAAGAATAAAAAGGATTTCCCTTTTTACCCATCCATGTTTGCATTCGCATTGCGGTTGGATGGTGTCCTTTTTTTTTTGTCTGTTGCTGTTGTTGGTGCTTTTGTTTGATTTGTGTGTATTCGCATGCGTGTGTGTGTGTGTGTGGACGTGCAACGGCAACGCACACCCCCGCGGAGGCGGAGAGGCAGATAATGACGTGCCGGGATTCGGCTCCGCCGCTGCCGTTATGTATGCTAGAGGGACGCTAGAAGCGTCACAGCTCATGGAAGCCACGTCGAAGGGGCAAACACATCCCCTTTGCACTCTGTAGGCGATGTATCATACAAGAGGCCGCGCTTTGCTTGTCGAGCATATTTGTAACAGTGGCGCAACGGCGCATGCGTGCAACTTTTTTTTTTGCCTCTTCTTCTGTCGTTGTCGTCACGGTGGAGTTGACGGGGCCACACTGGCTTGTGAGGAGATGTATTGAACCACGCTCCTTCCTTTTTTTTTTACTTTATTTTTGTGTCCTTGTGTGCTTTGCGCCCGGGCCAAATAAAAAGGAAGGCCAGTGGTTCCTTTCACCACATCACACGCACATACGTGTGTGTGTGTGTGTTTTTTTAATAGATAGACGTAGAACTGGCTTCATTGTGGTTGTGCAGGTAGCGGGGGTGAGGCTTCATGCTGGGCTGGGGCGCCTCTGAGCGGCGCGTCACGAGCAGCAAGGAGCTACGTGACGTTGACATGTACGTTTACACGCTCCCCGCAGGGCTGCTGGGCCGCTACATTGGCCGCGCCCTGCGGTTCCGCGTGGAGCGGTTTGCGTACGACGTTGACCCGGCGGGCCGCTCGCTGCGGCGCGTGGTGGTGGAGGCCGACTCCCTGCTCCCGCAGTGCGAGGTGGACCGGCGCAAGTTTGAGCGGCTCCTCTTGAACTTCTCAGAGGTGGAGCGGCTCTCGCGGCGGGTGCGCAGCTACACCCTCGACGCCCCTCGCTTCCCCCGCATCCTCTACGAGGTTGAGCGCGAGACGCAGGAGCACCTCGAGGGCTCGCTGCAGCTCTGCGGGGAGACACGCCCGGTGCGGTGCAGCAAGGCGCTGGAGGGGCCGGAGCTCGTGGTGCGCTGCCCGATTGACACCCGCGAGTTCAACGTGCCGCGCTACTCGATCCTCTTTGGGCTCTTCAGCGTCTCGCCGCACGTGGAGGTGGAGACGCGGGTGCCGCTCAAAGTCCTGCGGCTGTGAGAGCGCCTTGGCCGCGGGAATAAGACGCAGGTGTCAGCAACGACAAGCGAAGAAACTCTCTCTCTCTCTCTATATATATATATATATTTTGGTGGGTGGGGAGGCGTTTGGTTTTTTATTCGATGCATGCATGACTTATTTCTCCTTTTTTTTTTCTTCTCTCTTTCTTTCTTTTTTCTTGCCGCTCCTCCCTTCCTGCGCCTCGCACCTGCCCGGCAGCACAGCGAGCACCACGTTGCGGATGCCAGTCAACGGGGGTGGCGGCGGCCGCGCGAGTCGCTTGACTCCGCCAGGCACCTCAGACCTGCTGGAGGCGCAGCTGCGGCTGGGCGGCGTGGCGCTGCTTCCCGAACGTGGAGCGCCGCAGGAGGAGCGGCGCCCCAGCGACGACGCCGACGCCGATGTCTGCTGGTTCCTTCTGCCACCTGCGCACTTCGGTGCGTGGTGCTGCAACAGCCACGGGACCCTTCACGGCGGGCTGTGCCTGGCGCTTTTTCTCGCCGCCTGCAAGGCACATTTTCTCCGCCGCTCTGGGGCCGCGGGTGCTGTGACGCACGTGAGCATTCAGTACATGCGCCCCGTCTCCACTGCCTCTGCCCTCGCGGTGCGGAGCGAGCTGCACGAGAACAGACGCGACGCCAACGCTGCCTGGCAGCACGACGGTGGTGTGGTGCATGCAACGGTGGAGCTGTACATGCAACCAACGCCACGGCAAAAGGGCGGGAAGCCGGCGGAGCCGCAGCAGGGATACTTCGCGCCGCTCAATAAGGGGCAGAGGATGGATGCCGCACTGTGTTGTTGCAGGGCGTTTCTCACTATTGCCCGGACGCCGACCCCTGCTGCCCACCACCTCTGACAACTGGAAAGCCAGCGACCCGACGCCCTTGCCAATGTGCGCAGCTCACTCTGTTTTTCCCCCCTTATTGATCTGCGCACGGTGCGCTGGCTGACGCGTGATGCATCCACCGGTGGCGTGTGACTGTCTGTTGCGCGGAACCTCACGCGCGTGTTGGTTTGTTGCCCCTCCCTCCCCCTCTTTCACACACACACACTTACCTTTTTTTTCTTTGCCATTTTTCGTTTTTTTTTTCTTCTCTCTTCGCCCCCGCGAGGCATAAGGCGAAGAACCCAGGGAAGCGGCGGCGGCCAACGCGGTGAGGGCGGATGCATACTGCAGAGACGGCCTGCGCGCCGGTAGAAATGGGGTTTCTGCGCGGCGTCATTGTTGGCTCCGGCTCGAGTGGCGCCACCCCTGCGCTGGGCTGCATCACCGGCCCCACGCCCTGCGGCAACTGCGCCGAGGCGCACCGCGACCCACGGCGGAGCAAAAATCACCGGCTAAACGTCTCCTTCCTCGTTCAGCTGCGACACCCGGCGGACGGCTCGCTGCACAACGTCCTCATCGACTGCGGCAAAACCTTCCGCGAGGCGGCGCTGAAGGTGTTCCCCGCCGTCGGGGTGTCGGACCTCAGCGCGGTCCTCCTCACGCACGACCACGCGGACGCCGCGTTTGGCCTTGACGACCTGCGGGAGTTCAACCGACCCGACACCTCCCTTAACGTCTTCGCCGACGAACGCACGGAGGCCTCCATGCGCCGTGTGTATCCGTACCTCTTCCCAAAGGATGGCCCCCCGAAGGTTGGGGAGTGGCGGCAGAAGAAGACAGGCTTTGTCGCCTCCCTCGCCTGGCACGTGTTTACGCCACTGCAGAAGCTCCTGCTGAGCATTCGTGACCGCACCCCACCTAATGGCAATGGCGAGGCCGTGATGGCTTCCTGGCCTATCGTGCCCATTGCCGTGCCACACGGCGGGAATTACCTTGCGAATGCCTTTCTACTACCAATGCACCTCTCTGGAGAGAAGCCCCGTCTCCTGCTGTATGTTTCTGACATGAGCGAATTGGAGGACAAGTTTTTTACAGACCTGACCCAGGCAAAGGAGTTGTTGGGCGTGCCAGGTTCGACATCCGTAGAAGTTCTTCTGCTGGACATGCTGTCGCACAGAACCTACTTTTCCCACCTCAGCGTCGATGCCTCCATCGCAGCTGCGCGCAGGATTCAGGCCGGTAAAACGTACTTTGTTGGCATGTCACACCTCCTGAACCACGACGAACTGACACGAGAGCTGCAGGGCCTGGGGCTGAGCAGTCAGATGGAGGTGGGCTTTGACGGCTGCGTCGTATGCACCGCCGAGGCCAGTGATGCGCAGCGCTCCGTCAGCTCTGAGCTCTGAGGAGGCGTGGGAGGCGTGTCTGCCGGCGGGGGGAGGTGAATGGCCCCCTCCCGCAGAGAGGCGCCATTGAAGTGAAGCCGTGCAGCTTCCAGCGTGGACCTCGCAGCAACAGAAAGCAAAAACGAAAAAAAACGGAATGGAAGTTTTTTTTTCCTTTCTTCCCCTTCGTTCTTTTTTCTTTTACCCCGTTTGTTTTACTCACTTCCTGTTGTTGCTTTTTTCCGGGCCCCTGAGCTTCCGTTTTTCCCCTCGCCTTTGTTGTACTTTGTTGCTCGGGGTAAATCAGGGAAGGCGGCGAATGCCTCCGGGGCTGCGGACCACGCATGCATCTACACGTGGTGTCGGTGGAGCACTCCGTGGCGAATCCCGAGCCCGCGCTCGGCGACTCGCAGATGAGCCCGTTGTTTCATCGCGTGTCGGCCCGCTGCCCGCTGCTGCATTTATTCGGCTACGTCCACACAAGGCGGGAGGGCGGAGGTGGACCGGAGGCTCTCCAGCAGCGCAGCGTCTGCGCACACGTCCACGGCGTGTACCCATACTTCATGGTGCTGCGGCATGACCCCGGGGTCTCGGCGATGCAGTTCGGCGCGCAGCTGGAGGCGGTGGCGATACGGCTCCTGAAGCCCTCCGCCCCAACGGCAGCGCCGCCGCCGCAGCTGCTGCACCACGTGGAGGTAGTGCGGCGTCTGCCCTTTTACGGCTACCATGCGAGGCACAAGACATTCTTCAAGGTCAGCGTGATTGACCCCCAGCTGGTGGGCAGTCTTCTGCGGCTGCTCCGCCAGACGACGGAGGTGGGAGGGCGGCGGTGGCAGACGTACGACGCACACACCCCCTACCACTTCCAGTTTATGGTGGATTACGGCATGAAGGGGATGGCACCGTTTTGCATCCCCAGCTGCACCGCGCGCACGCCCGTGCCGAAGGACGTACAACCCACGCAGCTGCAGACAAACCTGCGCGTCACTGCGGTGATGCCGAGAGGAGAGCCATTGCGCCTCACACGCGCCGAGTTGGAGATTGATGTGAAGGCGTCTGTCCTGCGGCGGCGGGAGTGTCCTGCGGAGACGGGGGAGAACCTTCTCTCTGTGCGGCGCAGCATGCGAGAGTACTTTGCCGAGCACGGCGTCGACGACGCCCTGCGATGCGGGGCGGGGCTTGACATTGCAGATCGCAGCTGCACCGCGAGTGATGTGCAGAATAGTGACTCCGCCGTGCGAGTGATGCGCCAACGGGCGCTGATGCACCTGCGTGCCAGGGCCAACACGGCCAAGGCGGAGTCCCCCTCTCACATTTCCTCAACCCCGCGGGATGGGGTAGAAACCCACACGGCTTTTTCCCCGTCCGCCGGGAAATTAAGCGGCCACCTTACGTTGCAGCTCATGGAGGAGATGCACGGGGAGAGTGCGGAAGCGGCATGCCTTGCGCTGTCGGTTTCAACCTCGTCTTTGGCTTCTTCTTCTTCTGCTGCTTCCTCCGCCTTCTTGGTTTCGGTGCCGTCCGTGGGGGAGGCGGGGCGAGACGCGGGGGAGCGCTCGTCGCACTCCAGCGAGGGGGGCGATCGTATGCGGGCAGCTCCTGTAGCCGCTGACGCCTCACTCGTGGTTGGGGATTCCGTCGCCGTGGTTGGCGTGCCCGTCGACGGCGGCGCCTCGCCCGCGCCATCGGTGGCCAAAATAACCGCGATGGACGCGCAGACGGTGCGGCTGCGGTGGTACATGACGCTGCGCGAGACGCACCTCGCCGACGCGCAGGAGGCGCTTGAAAGGAGTGGGCGGTGGCTGGCGCGGCGGGCGCCTGACGCCGGCAGTGCGGCTGCGGCGGAGGAGGAGCTGCTACTGGGAGATGTGGAGGATGACAACCCCATTGATGTCTTGAAGCAGGCCGTGCGCGTTGCGGTGTACCACGAGTATAGTGCCTGCAAGAGCCCCGCGCTGCTCTGCCGCTACAATTATCACGTCTCGGAGCAGCGCCTTTCGGAGATTTCACCGGCACGGAGCGGGGAGCCCGTGGCCCTCCCGGCGGCACTTGCTGCGCCTCCTGCCACCGGCGCGGTGGGGGCGGGCGTCGTGGAGGAGGATGCGGAGCTCTTGACGTCACCGCCGTCGTCCTCGTCGTCGCTGTTTTCGTCACCGTCGTCGTGTGGCGCGGCGGCGGAGAGGCGTGAATTCGCGCCGCCGCTCTCCCTCTCACGTCCGTCGACGCACGGCGGAAATTGCACGCCGGCTCCGCTGCGACGCTCCGTTTCAAGCGTTGCGCAGCAGGCGGCCCAGTCGCAGTTGTCGCTGCTCCTCAGCTGCGTGGGCTCCTCCCCGCCCGCGACGGCCATCGTCCACGCCGTGGCCTCTCCGCCGGTTGCCTCTGAGGCCGGTGGCAACGTGGAGCCGCCCTCCGCGTCGCTGGAGTGTGTCAGCCCCCGTCAAGTCGCCCTCCTGCAGGAGTGCAGGGAGGCGTCTTTCTGCTTACGCCCGTGCCACTTCATGGGCGACATCGCTCGCAATTTTCGATGGACGTATGACCAGCAGCATCATAGTATTGCTGTGTCGGCCGCCAGCTGGCCTCTCGCCACACCTTCCAGTACTGCTAGCAGTAGCCACGCTCCTGCTGCGGCGTCAACACGGGGAGGAATGCCCAGAGCAACCGTGGGAGCGCTTCCAGCACGGCCGTCGGTGCCGCTGCTCTCGCATGTGGCGCCATCGCCGTGGGTGTCGCCCAGCCATCAACGTGCGTCGGCCGCCAAAGCCCCCAAGTGGCAGCCACACCCATCATCCAACGCCTCACGCTCGCTAGGGCGGGGCACGTATACGACCTGCGAGCTTCGTGTCATGTGTGTGGAGGTGCTCGTGCACCGCCAGCCTGGCACGCAGAATGTAGTGCAGGATGAGCTTTTGGCTGTGGCGCTTGGACGCACCAACTCTTCCGCCGAGTTCATCGGTGTGCGGATCTTTTGTGTGTGCCCAGCGACGATGGCCATGAATTGTCTACAGCAGCCTTTTAGTGGCGTCGTCGACGTGGTTCCGCTCCCCTCGGAGTTGCACCTGCTGCAGCGCGTGCGGCGGGAGCTGTGCTCCTACGACCCCGACATTCTTCTCTCATGGGAGGGGTGCAAGTACGGCGTGGGCCTGCTGGCGTTACGCTACCGCCTCGTGCTGCGGCGTTCCCTCGCGCGCGACGTCGCCCGGCTCGCAATCCACGGCGTGGGCGATGCCACGGGCGAGGCGGGTGACGAGCGGGATGCAGTGGGCGATGCCGCGAGTGCCGACGATGAGTTGTGGTTGAGTTCCTCCTCCTCCTCCTCGTCGTCGTCAGCGGGAGACGGCGAGGGCGTCGCTGCGCCGGAGACCGCCGGGGCATCGGCGGCGGCCGCCTCACAGCTCGGCACGGCCGACATGATCCGGCGTCTCTCAAGGCGCTTTGGCGGCGGCGTGCGTGTTGCGGGGCGCGTTGTGGTTGACCTCGGCAGGCAGCTGCGCAAGGAGCTGCGGCTTCCCTCGCACACCTTGCAGATGGTGCATCAAAAGCTTTTTCGCCGCAGCCTGCCGTACTTCACGGACGTCGCCCTGGCAGAAATGTACACCGGCAGGAGTGCCGATATGCGGCGTGTGGCGCTTTCTGTTCTTCTCACACGCGTTGTGACTCCGCACCGGGTTGCGCGGCATCTGGACTTTTACACCCGCACTATGGAGTTCGCGCGGATGTACGGCATCCTCTTTTACGAGGTGCTCACACGCGGGAGCCAGTACCGCGTCGAGGCGACGCTGCACCGCATGGCACGACCCCTCGGCTACGCGATGCTGTCGCCCTCGCCTGAGGAGGTGCACCGTCAGCCGCGCCTTGTGAGCATGCCGCTGATTATGCAGCCACGCAGTGGCTTCTACAAGGACGACCCCGTCGTTGTGCTGGACTTCCGAAGCCTGTATCCCAGCATTGTGATTGCGTACAACCTGTGCTACTCGACCTGCCTTGGAAGGGTGTCCAAGTGCCGCCGCGGCCGCTTGGGGGTGTTGGCGTCGTACAGGCAAGCCGACCCTCTCCTACTGCGGCTCCTCGCGGAGGATGACGCGTTACTCGCCGCACACCGGGTGACAGTTGCGCCAAATGGTTGCATGTTTTTGTCCCCAGAGATACGCAGAGGGGTGCTCCCGCAAATGCTGCAGGCCCTGCTTGACACACGGCTTCAGGTGCTGGCGGCTCTGAGGCATGTGGCGCAGCCGTGCGAGGACAAGCACATGCAGCGCGTCCTGCAACAGCAGCAGACGGCCATTAAACTGCTCGCTAACACGACTTACGGGTACACGGCGGCCTCCTTTACGGGGCGAATGCCGTGCGTGGATGTCGCCGATGCCACAGTCATGCTTGCACGCCAGACACTGGAGCGGGCAATGCGACTTATCAACGGCCACCCGAGCTGGAACGCGGAGGTGGTGTACGGAGACACCGACTCGCTCTTTGTGCGGTTGCCTGGCAGAACAAAGGAGGAGGCCTTTCTGCTTGGTGAGCAGATGGCGAGGGAGGTGAGTCGCATCAACCCCGCACCGATTCAGCTGCAGTTTGAGAAGGTGCTTTTTCCCTGTCTCTTGCTTGTGAAGAAGCGCTACGCGGGTTACGCATACTTCAAGCCGGATCAAAAGCAGCCCGAGTTCCTTGCGAGGGGTATTGAGACCGTGCGCAGGGATCAATGCCCTGCCACCTCCCGTCTGGCGGAACGCATGCTTCAGCTCCTTTTTGCCGGTGCCTCTACCGACGTGCTGCGTACGCGATTCTACGAGGAGGTGGGCAAACTGCAGCGTGGGGGGTGCAATCCGGCCGACTGCATCTTTAGAAAGGCGGTGAAGCTGGGGCGGTACCGTGACGAGGCGCACCTGCCACCCGGGGCGCATCTTGCCATGCAGTTGATAGAGAAGGACATCACACGCACGCCGTACTGGGGCGAACGCATGCCGTACATTGTGGTTCAGCCACAGGCGTCTCTGCGATTGCGTGATCAGGTGGTGCACCCGCAGCGTCTGCTGAGTTTGAGGGAAAGCCTGCGCGTTGACCACGAGTACTACATCAAGCGCCACATCATTCCCACGCTGGATCGTATGTTTTACCTCATTGGCGTGAGCTTTGCGCGCTGGTACGCGCTTATGCCAAGACGGCGCTCATGTCAGAGCTACTTTGGGCTTGGCGTGGCAACACTCCCGCGTTCGGGCAAAAAAACACCACGGACCCCGCGTGAGCATCCCATCGTGGTGGGGGACGACACGGACGCTGACACAGACCACGGCGGTGCCTCGTTGCCACTGGCCGCTCTGGCGTGCCGCCCCAGGCAGAGGACCCTGGACGCGCATTGCCATCGGACGCTGTGCGCCGTGTGTCTCGAGGCGTGCTCGGAGACGCGTCCGCCAGACCCACCTGTCTGTGGTGGTTGCTTGCGTAATCGCAGGGCATCGGCTGTGCGCGTGGTGGGGCGCCGGCGCAGGGTTGAGCAAGAGTTGCGATTACTGGAGACCGCGTGTCGACGCTGCATTGCATCCTGCGGGGAGGCGGGCGGAGCAAACTTCTTGGCGGGGGAAGAGCGAGACATGGAGGACATGCATTTTGCCATTCCCCACCAGCTCGCTGCCGCTGCTTCTACGGCCTTGCACGGAGATGGGTCGAGGGGTTGTCTTTCCATTGACTGCTACTTGTCCTTCGAGAAGAGTCAGGTGTTCCTCCTCTACTCGCAGCTGATGGCGTTGGAGAATTACTTGGCAAGGTTGTGTGTCACCGCGTGATCGCCTCTTTTTTTTTTATTCTTATTCTTTAGAATATATATAATTTTTTTTGCTGCCTTTTTGTTTTGTCTGCGTCGGTTGCTGCTGCTGCGTAATTCTCTACATACGTGTCTCTGCTGTGTGTGTTTGTGGCGGGTGGGTGGGTGGGGTGGGGAGGCAGTGAAGCGTTGAATGCGGACCGCGGCGCTGAGGGCGGCCCCACTGCTCTGCCGCTCCCACCGCCTCCTTGCGGGGCGGCAAGTGGGTGGCGAGGGCAACGCGTTGGCCCCCGCGCCTCCGCCGCCGGACGCCGTCGAGTGGAGTTCGCCGTTTCTCTCGTCTCTGCTGGAGCCCCCGGCGACGGTGCCGCTCCCCGACGCCGCCCGCACGTACGCGACGATGGACGTCGTGGAGCCGCCGGCGCGATACGACCCGCAGTCGCCGAACGTCGACCCCGCGCCGCGGGAGGCGGAGGCGGAGGCGGAGACGGATGGGCCCGTGGCGCGCGCGCACCGGGCGGGGCGGCTGTGGACGGCCTTTGCCGCCGCCAGCGGGAACGAGCCGCCGGCGTGGTTTTACGGCCTCTGCGAGGACTTGTACTACAGACGCCACTGCGAGGATGAGATGGACGCCACGGCCCTGGCCAGCGATGTGGCTTCGCAGCACCACGCCGCCACTCCGGGGGCCTGGGGCGGGGAACCGACGGCAACGAGGGCAAGTAGTAGTAACAGCAACCACAACGACAAGGGTGAGGACGGCGGAGAGGAGGAGGGCGTGGACCCGTACCTCTGGCTACCGTTTGACCTACTGAACGAGGCGGACTACGGTGTTGGCCCCTACGTGTTTCCCAGCACCGCCACCTACACGCATGAGCAGCGGACGCTGCTGTGCCTGGGAAACGCACGCAAAGAATATGTGCACTTCTGCAGCACGTATGCCTTCCCTGAGCGTGTGCAGATCCCAACCTCCGTGGGGACGCGTCCCGCCAAGCTGTACGTGGATCCCTTGCAAGCGACGCCGGTAGTTTACATTCAGTTGAGCGACGACTTTCCACCTGCAATGTGGCTTCCTGTGAAGGGGACGGCCGCCGCCGTGCGCCGCGTCCTGGCGGAGTTTGCGTCCATCTCCACCCTTCATCGAGACTGGCACCACGAGGGCTTTGAGGAACGCTTTCGAACCGCCCAGCGCATGTTGGAGCTTCAGCGTTTGCCTTCCACTGAAGGGGATATTCTTCGTTACATGTCCTACGACGCGCGTAATGAGCAGTTCGCCTTTGCCCCTATTCGAGAGTTCCCTAACCAGCAGGAGTTTTTCCTCGGCGAACACGACGACCCCGAGCGGCTTATGGAGCACCTCGACCTCTGCCCGTTTCTCTTTGCGATTCCGCACCTGCGGACGGTGGTGGACCCCCATGCCGAGCACATGACCCCAACGATTGAGGGCCCTGGGGTGGCGACCTCGCTCTACCGCTGCGTTTTCTCCAAGGCGCTCTTGTTTGTGCAGGTGCAGCTGTCTGCGGAGGTGAAGCTGCCTCCGCAGGACCCCGAGGCGTTTCAGTTCATGTGGAAAGACTCTCAGGTGGTCCCCAAGATGCACATCCCCGTTTTCGTTCGTGTGGTGTGGCCCGACAACGAACGCATGTGCGGCGGGGGTCAGTTGGTGCGCCGCTTCAACCGTCTCTTCCAGACGGAGTTCGCCGCCGACATCCCCGTCGACGCGGTGATGGCGCTCGTGTACGTCATGCAGTGGGCGAAGCAGCTGCCCAACTTTCTGGGCGTGCGTGGGATGCGGCGGCGCCTGTCGGAACTGGAGGCTGCGGCGCAGGTGCCTGAGCCGGCCAAGCTGTACCCGGCGACGCGGGAGATTCCTAACCCGGAGTACACCGTCGCAGAGCGCCTTGGAATGCATGTGCAGTACCTGGCGCAGCTCGGCGATCCGGACATCGCCGCGACGATTGAGCGACTTCTTCCGGAGGCTTCCGCGGCCGTTCGCATGGGATGTGCAAAGGCCGCCCTCATCGCCGGCGAGCGAGAGCTGTTCCGCCACATTGTGAGCAGTGAGCCACCTGGTCGCATGCAACTTTACATGACGAAACTCGTACGAAAACGCAAGTCGCGAGATTTACTTGACGCTGAGCCGCGCCTGCTTGAGGAGCAGTATGAGTTTGCGGCCCCGCTCTGGACGAAGCGTGGGACACGCATTGACAAGAACACACTTGAGGGAGCCGTGGACATGCAGGGGAGAATCGGTGGATGATGGCCGTCGCTTTGCCCCACCCCGCTGTTTTGTCTTTCACTCTCTGCGTGTGTGTGTATGTGTGTCTTGCTGGAAAGCTAAACATATATAAAGATATATATATATATATATATCTATTCATCTTTATCAACGAAACTATGTATATGTATATATATAGCTGCATCCTGTGCCCCATACCAACTGGTCGATTATCGGGCTTTGCAACTTCCGCTTCTCTTCCGTGTCGGTTCTCCCGTGCTCTCCTTAAGCCGCGTTGGGCTGACGGCGTGCCTGGGGTTTCTCCGTGCCACAGGCGGAGAGGAGAGAAGCGAGCCGCACACACACACACACACGCAAACACAAACCAACCCCCCCCCAAAAAAAAAGAAAGAAGTAGCGCAGCGGGGCGGATGGCGTCCAAGCGTCCTAGGGAGGAGGGAAGCGCGATGGCGGGCGGAGGCGAAGCGACACTGCGTCAGGAGGAGCAACTGCAGGAGACGGCCCCGCAACCCAACCTGCACCACTCGCTGAAGGAGGCCCGATTCGCGGGGCGGTCGATGGAGGCGGGGTTTAATCACCAGCTGGGGCCCTACGAGGCGCCCGATGAGGCGGCCGACGTCGAGGAGTTGGTGCAGGGGCACGAGGACTTTGGCGACCTGCCGGAGGAGCGTCGCCGCGCGCTGCTGGAGTCCGTGCGGGCGCTGGCGCAGAAGGTGGGGGGCGCGGCGAAGAGCAAGAGTCAGCTGGAGCACCTGCGCGTCAAGGCGTCCCGCCTCTTTGGTTTTAAAGACACCGCGCGGAAGTCGGAGCTGACGGCGGCGTATCGGCAGCTAGTGCGGGCCGGGGAACTCCAGGAGTCGCCGGTGCTGGAGGAGCTGCTGGTGCGGAAACGCGGCAAGTCGCACAGCGGCGTGCTGGTGGTGACCGTCTTCATGGGACCGGGGCAGTTTTCGTGCCCGAAGGACTGTCACTACTGCCCGAACCAGCCAGGCGTTGCGCGCTCGTACCTGCTGAAGGAGCCAGGTGTGCTGCGCGGGTACCGCAACGGTTGGGACCCCGTCTCGCAGTTCTACGACCGGGCGAGCGCGCTGGAAAACAACGGCCACGTGGTGGACAAGATTGAGCTCATTATTCTCGGCGGGACCTTCTCCTTCTACCCAAAGAAGTACGCCGAGGAGTTTATGGCCGGATGTTTTTACGCCGCCAACACGTACTACGACTCCGCGCCGCTGCGGCCCATGCAGAGTCTGCAGGAGGAAATCACGCTGAACGAGGAGGCCCGCTGCCGCGTCATTGGAGTGACGGTGGAGACGCGCCCGGATTACATCAACGCGTCCGAGCTGCGTCGCTTTCGCACGCTTGGCGTCACGCGTGTGCAGCTTGGGGTGCAGCACCTCGACGACGACATCCTCAACGTGGTTAACCGTGAGTGCCCGACCGCCAAAACCATCGTGGCGATCAAGCGCCTGCTCGACGCGGGGTTTAAGGTGGATGCTCACTGGATGCCGGACCTGCCCGGAAGCAGCTACGCAAAGGACCGTGAAATGTTCGAGTACCTTTTCTCCCCCGACAACGAGAACTTTCAGGTGGATCAGTGGAAGGTGTACCCCACGGCGACGGTGCCGTACACCAAAATTGAGGAGTGGTACCGCAAAGGCCTCTACAAGCCCTACGCGGAGCTGGACGGCGGTGCCTGGATGGTGAAGCTCCTTGTGTACATCATGGAACAGTGCCCGCATCGCATTCGTCTAAATCGCGTTGTCCGCGACATCCCCACGACGTACATCATGGGGGGTGAGCGGCGGTGCAACCTGCGGCAGGTGATCGAGGCGGAGATGAAGGCGCAGGGGATTCGCTGCAGGGATATTCGTGAGCGCGAGTGCAAGGGGCGACCCGTCGATCGCGAGCACACAAGCCTCTTCGTAGATGAATTTCGTGCAAGCGAGGGGACCGAGTTCTACATATCGGTGGAGGATCCGGAGCGGTCGACGCTGTATGGACACCTGCGGCTGCGGCTGCGTGACAACAGCGGGGCAGACAATTCCCTCTTTGGGGCGCTCGAGGGCTGTGCGCTCATCCGCGAGTTGCACACGTATGGGCGGCTGGTGGCGGTGTCTCGTCCCAACTCTGGCAGTGAGGCGCAGCACATGGGCGTGGGCACGCAGCTGATGCGGGAGGCAGAGCGCATTGCCGCGGCGCGCGGATTTGGCAGTGTGGCGGTGATTGCAGGCGTCGGGGTGCGGCGGTACTACGGGAGGCTCGGGTACCAGCTGGAGGACACCTACATGGTGAAGCGGCTCGCGGTGAACGGCACGAACGCCATCACGGAGGAGCAGGTGGTGCAGGACGACGACAACGACAACACCGGCTTCTTCTCAAAACTGAGGAACCTCATTTTTGGGAAGTAAGCCCCGCCTCCCGCATTCTGCGGAGCAACACCGTTTCCCCCTCCCTGCCTGCGCTGCTGCTTGTGGTGGTGGTGGGAGAGGCGAGGCCAAGTAGTCGCGCGGGGTGCAAGGCGGAGGCGCGCAACACCACCGCCACCGCCGCAGAGGGGGAAAGAAAGTGAAGGCGATGAGCGGAGAACGTTAAACATGGGGGCAAAAAAAAATGGAGGCCAAACGGTGTGTGTGCGCCTGTGATGGTCTGTAATGCCGTGACTGATTTGTTTTTGTCTGCTGCTCAGCTGCGCAGGAAGAAAAAAATATATCTTTTTTCTTGCCTAAACGAAAAATACGGCACTTTTACTCATTTGTCTTTACTTTTGGGCTTTCCTTTTCGTGCTGTCTCTCCTCCGCCATTACTATTTTGCCTTTGCTTCCCCTTTTGTGTTTGTGTGGGTGTGTGTGCGTTTTTTTTTTTCGCTCCCGCTGCCCTGCACCGCGGTGCGTAGTCTGGAGAAGTCAGCGTGCACGTGCGTCTGTGTGTGTTGGGGCCGAACGAGTGGAAGGGAAGCAGCGTGGGGGTAATGCGCCGCATGCAGGCCGTGGGGCGCGCCGCTCTCTGCACCGCGGCGCTTCAGCCGTCGTCGTTGCTGGCGTCGCCGCCGCAAGGGCAGAGGCGCCAAGCGGCGTTCAACGCCGCGCCCAAGAAGCCGAGTGGGCTGCGCAGTTTCTTTAGGCTGGCGGACATGTACAGTCCGGGCAAGTACACTTCAAAGGACCTGCCGAAGGGGCCGGGGGCGTCGAACCAGCCGTGGGACCCGGTTTACGCCAACTACGCCTTTCGGAAGGCCACGGGGCCGCTGGAGCGAAAGCAGAACACGACTCCAGACGACCACCTTACCGTGGAAGAGGTGGAGAAGTGGATGGACGCCACCGCCGCCGCGAAGGTGCTGGGCATCAAGGAGTCCGAGCTGCCGACACTGACCTCCACGCAGCTGGAGGAGCGCTGGGCGAAGGTCTACGGCGAGCGCGCGAATGCGCTGCAGCAAGAGACGGTCATTGCGGCGGAGGTGTTGTTGGAGTACATTGACTCCTCACTGCATCGCAAGAAATCCCGGCAGTATTACCGCCAGTACGTTGACAACGCCCGGCACGCGATTGACCACGAGATTGACCTGCGGCGTCAGGGACACCGGCAGAAGTTCACTTACGTGTTTGGCGTGGCAATGCTCACCGGGTGCAGCGTGGTGATGTGTATTGCCTTCTTCCGCGATATTATTACTCGCAGAGACGTGGAGAACATTGGCGCCAACGCGGTGGCGTACCTCAGCATGGCCTTCACCCAGGCGACCAACCCCGAGCCGGCCCCCGACTACTCCACCCGCTATCGCAACACCCCCACCGCGATGGAGATCGATCAGCGGGAAGGCAACTTCGGCCACGCGGACCCTGCGCGGGCGCAGCTTGCGGCGGAGGTCGAGGAGTACCGCCGTCAGGAGGAGGCCGAGATGCTGCGGATGTTCAACGACGAGAACGAGCGTGCGCAGAAGGAGGCGAAGGTGCGGGAGGTGCGTGGCAGCCGAGTGCGTGTGTACCGTCCCGAGGACTTTGATGAGGCCGGTGAGTTGAAGGAGCCTGCGCCGCCCAAAAATGAGCTGGACCCCGCGGCTGCCTTCTCGCAAATGACATTTCGGCAGTTTGCCGCCATGATGGCGTCGCAGTTTGGCGGCGGCTCCCGGTTTCAGCGCATCACGCAGGACAGTGTGCGGCGCACGGAAGAGATGGAGAAGATGCGGAAGCGCATGGACGAGACGAATGTGTAGCGTCAATGACGTTTGCCTCCGCCAGCGCCAAATTCCATGGCGTGCGAGCGTAAGTTGTGTCCTCTGTTTTCTCCCCCACCTTTTTTTTTTGTCGTCTGTGTGTCTCTCGGTGTGTGTGTGTGTGCGTGTGCCTGTTTTACTTCTCTTTGCTGTCCGTGCTCTTGACATGTGCGCTCCTGATCCGCTCTGCTCTCTCTCTCCTTCTGTGTGTGTTTGTGTTTGTGTTTGTGTAGGTTTTCCCAAGGCGGCGCTTGGCGATCGCTTGACCTCTACTCATGGGCGGGGCGGGGCAGCAGGAGGCGCCGCAGCCGTCGTCCCCGACAGGCAGCCTGCACGCCTCCTCCGTGGCACTGGCCTCGACTGCGGCCAGCGTGCTCACGAAGTCCTTCCTCCACCCCCTGGACACCGTAAAATGTCGGTTGCAGTGCTCGAATTCCAAAAGCTTGCTGTATATCTGGCGTGAGTTCGCCGGCAAGTGGGGCCCCCGCCACGTGTACGGCGGCTTGCCCCTGAAGCTGGTTTTTTACGTGCCGTACCAGGCCATCTACATGACCACGTACAACGCGGTGCGCGACACGTTGAGTCCGGCGGGCGTCAGCAACGACCCACGCAGTTCATTCCTGGCGCATACCCTCGTTGCCGCGTGCGCCGCCGAGCTGGCGAGCTGCGTCGCGCGTGTCCCTATGGAGACGGCGAAAATGCGCATTCAAGCCACCGTTGTGCCGAATACCGCGGCCGCAATACGGCAGATTTTCCGCCAAGGGCTTTTTGCCTGCTCTCGACTGGTAAGGGCGCAAACACTACTGCATGACATTCCTTACAGTGTCATTCAGTGGGTTTTCTATGAGAGCTTGCGGCCATGGGCGAAGCGTTTGCAACCGCAGCATCAACTTGAGGGTGAGCCTGAGGGGCAGCCGCGTCTTCGTTGGTACGTTCATCATTTTTTGCGTACCTTTCTGACAGGTGGCTTTAGTGGCCTTATGGCATCTACGTTAACGGTGCCACTGGACACAATTCGGACCCGTGTGGTGGTGGCCACCGCAGACAACCCATCTGCGACAATACGCAGCGTGGTGCGGGACACGTATCGCCTCGGTGGCGTCGCTTTCTTTTTCCGCGGAGGATGCACCCGCGTGCTGTGGGTTACAACTAATATGGCGGTGTATTTTCCCCTGTATGAGACCTTTAAGATGGAGTTGCTGCGCCGTCAGGAGTCGGCAGCTCGCAAGCCGCTCTGACGCGCGCCCTCTGGCTGGCGTTTCCCTGCCAGTTTCTCCCCGTTGCTATGTTTCGTGCGTGCCGGTGAAACGGTGCTAAGTAGTAATTTTTCGGTTGGCCACATTCCTTCTCTGCCCACTCCCCGCTCTCTGTCTTGTTCTTTTCTCTGGCCTGCTTGCTCTCCCGCTTCATCTCTACACCTCTTTTGTTTCTTTTTGTTTTTGTTTTTCCTTTTCGCTTTCCTTCTTGGCTCGCGGTGTCGCGTCTGCTGTGGCCTGTGGGCCCCGTTGCGCCCAACGTTGCGGGGGCGGGGGCGGAAGAAGGCGGGAAACAAACAGGCAAACAAACAAAAAACAAAAACTTAAAACTTTAGGGAAAACGGCGGAAAGAAATAAAAAAGAAAAAAAACCTCAAAAGAAGAAGAAGAAAAAAAAACGCATTGAAGGCGAATGACAAGTGCCGCGGCATCGCACGAGGTTAGTGACGCACGCAGCGACGATGCCTGGCCGGAGTTCACGCAAAGCATGTGTGAGGAGCTGAACGGCAAGCGCTGCCTTGCCCTGGCGGCAGCGACGGCCCCAGCGAAGCTGGCCGCCGTGTGCCGTTGCATCGACGATGCGTGCGCAAGGCTGGTCGCCGCAAGCAGTGCGGGGGCGAAGGAGGAAAAGCCTCTAAAACCAAACGACCTGCTGCTCTCCCTGCAGCGCGCCCCACGTGTCTGCTTCACCACGGAGGCTGGCATCGCGAAGCTGCAGAAGTGCACTGCCGTTTACGGGCGAACCCCAAGTCTGCTTCTGCTAGAGATGTACGACGACCGCGCCTTTGTCCTGGACCTCAACCCCGGCCTGCTGGGCAACAGCGAGCAGGCGGCGGCCGTGGAGGCGTTCCTCCGTGGTGTGGCGGAGGGTAGTGTTGCGAAGGCCCTCCAAGGCGCGGCACCGCCCGACGATGACCGCCTCGAGCCGACGCACGGCATCACGCTGAGCCACGGACTCTGCGCCGTGACGAGCACGTTTCGGCGGCTAAAGCGGAAGGAGGCGGGCGGCGCAGTCTGCGTCTTCTGGAGCAGCCGTTGTGCGGTGTGCCCCGCGGTTCTCATGATGATGGACCACCTTGTAGGCGTCGTCTGGAAGGCCTCCGAGGCCTGCGGCGTGGCACGGCCCTTTAGCTACCTCGCCTGCAACATCGACGACAACGATCTCCCGGCGGAGGACTGGCCAGAGACGCCGCACCAGCAGACGGTGCCGACGACGGCTGCGTACGACGGGAACGGGGAGCGCTTCGTGTACACCGGCAAGCGAAGTGCCGCACCTATTGTACGCTTTATATGCGCACACTGCCTGCCAAGGGACTTGCCCACTGCGGCGCGGATTACAAGCGATGCGCTGGCGATTGCAGAGAAGTTGACGGACGAGGAATTGTGGGAGATTGGCCTCCCTCCCGCCGCGAACAAAGACGTAGAGAAGAAGTCCCCACCGCACGGCGGCGGCAATGCACACGAAGCCTCTGTCGAAAGCTCGCGGGGGGCACGGCGGAAGAGGCCGCTTGGCTGCAGTGAAACTCTACCGGACGACGAACTCCCCCAGCGGGCAGCGGAGCAGCTGGAAACACAAAAGAGGAGAGTGGAGAAGGAACATGAGGAAGTCATGGGCCCGTGAGGACGGTATTCGATGTGCTTCTCTTCGCTCTCTTTGGTCGTTGAATTCGCTTCTTTCGGAGCGTTTCTGAGACGCATGTGCGGGAATGTGCCCCCTAAGTTTTGTACCAGCGAGCTTTTCTCTTCGTTTTTTTTGTGTTGTCGCTCCTTTTCCTTTTTATTTTTATTTTTATTTTTTCCTTTTCCCGTGTGTCAGTGTGCTGTTTTCGCCTCTACTGGAAGTCCACTTATTTCTTTTTCCTCTCTTCTTGGATTGGGCGTAGGCAGTAGGGATTTGTGTGCTGGCTGTGGGCGCATCTTCTTCTCTGTTGTGCCTCCATTCGTGATGCGAGGACGGATATGTGGTGGGGCTGCTAAAGACATCTCTGCCCGTTCTTGCGTGCGCGTGGTTCTCTCTCCCTCTCGCTCTCTCTCTCTCTGTCTCGTGGGGCGTGCTGCGAGGCGCCGTCCGGGCGGCGCGTCTGAAGCGCGACACCAGATGCAAATTAACGTGTGTGCTGCCTGGCACTCCTTTGGTTTCGGCGACCTTAGGGCTGAGCGCGTGTGCGTGTGTGAGAGGCACAAACCCCCCACCCCACCCCACCCCCGTCTCGCCTTGTTTTTTTTTTCTTCGTTTGTTTTGCCTGCGTGCCGCATCTCTTTTGCACTCGACGTCACTTGTTCTTTTTTTTTCTTTGGTCTTTACTCCTCCACCCTCTGCTCCCCTGCGCGCGCGCGTGTGTGTGTGTGTGCGGTGGTGGCGGTGGTGGGTCGTGTCTTTTGCCACTTGGCGCCTTTTCCTGGCAGCGAAGCGGGGGGACGAGCGTGTGGCGTTTGCCTCCCGCCCCTCCCCGCGCCGTTCACACCTCATGCTGCTGCTGAGCGAGATAGGGCGCGCGTGAGCGAGAGGGAGAGAAACACACACACAGAGAGAGAGAGAGAGAGAGAGCGAGGGAGAGAGGATAGCAGGCGGGGCGCATCGCGGGCCTCCCGGCGCCACCGACTCGCAGGCAATGCGGCGGACGTTCGTGTGTCGTGGGGGGTTTCAGGCCCCGCGGAGGGCGGCGGAGGCGCACGACGTGCCGGGCGCGGTGGCTCCCCGCGCGGAGACGGCGGAGGACGGCCGCCCCGCCGCATCGAAGGCGACGGCCGCACACAAACGCCCCCGCGTTGAGCCGTGGCCGCAAGACGCGCCTCCGGTGACGGCTGCACTGCCGCAGGCGCCGTCTTTTCCACCGGCCACGGCGGCTCCGCAGCTACGCGAGACGCAGGCCAATGGGGCGGCGATGGACACGCTTCTGTTTGAAAACGAGGAGGAACTCCAGCGGGAGGTGGAGGAAGATCAGCGACTCTCCACGGATCTTCCATTCACGCCCAGCAAAACGGCGGCGGGTGCCAGCACACCGCCGTTTATTTTTTCCCAGGCGACCTTGGAAGGCGGCGAGGCCGAGGAGGGGGAGACAAATGTGCGTCCGGATCCCGCGGATGTTGTGCTGTTTCACAGTAACGGCGATGCGCCGGCGGTGGTTTCCCCACCAACCACCATCGTCGGCTCGGCACAGACGAAGGACGGCGGCGGTGGCGGCGTCTTTTACGATCTTCCTCAGAGCGCACAACACTTCTTTACGAATAGGCGAGGCATCAAGCAACTGTATCCGTGGCAGCACGAAGTTTTGATGCGGGACGACGTGCGTGGCGGTGGGAGTTTGGTGTACAGTTTGCCGACGAGTGGTGGCAAAACCCTGGTGGCGGAGATATCGCTGCTGCGATGTCTGCTGAATCGACAAAAGTCATGCTTCTTTGTCCTTCCCTTTGTTTCGTTGGCGGAGGAGAAGGCGGAAGGCCTGCGCCCCTTTGGCGACGCGTTGGGCTTTGCCGTCGACGGCCACTACGGCACACAAGGCAGGCTGCCCCTGCCGAAGCGCACCACTGTGTTTGTTTGCACCATTGAGAAGGCAAATTCGCTGCTTAACCACATGCTGGAGGAGGGTTTGACGGAGGAGCTGGGGGCCGTGGTCGTGGATGAGCTGCACATGCTTGGGGAGTCTCACCGTGGTGCGACGCTGGAACTGTTTTTGTCTAAACTGCTTTGCTTGTCGCATGCCGTGCAGCTTATTGGGATGAGTGCCACCATCCCAAACCTGCCAAGTATTGCGACGTGGCTACGCGCCGCCTGCTACTTGGGACAGTACCGCCCAATCCCGCTGCGGCAGTACGCCGTCGTGGACGGCATGGTGATGGAGGATGGGGAGCGGAATGAGCGAAATCTGCTGGCGGCCGGCTACGCGACGGAGCGGGAGCAGTTGCTGCTTCTAGCGACGGAGATACAAGAGGGGTCGGTGTTGATCTTTTGCGCGAGTCGTCAGCAATGCGTTGACACCGCACGTCTCATTGCCCAGCACCGCAAGGGCATGAAGAGTGGATTTCTTCCTGCAAGTGAGATGACGCTTGGAGCCCTGCAGACAGAGCTTAGCTCCTTCGGGAACGATGCCAACCTGCTTGGCCAGCTTCTCCCCCACGGGGTTGCGTTTCACCACGGCGGCTTACTTGGGGAGGAGCGCGAGTTAATTGAGCGGGCGTATCGCCAGCGTCACATCAACGTTCTCTGTTGCACGTCCACGTTGGCAGCTGGAGTTAATTTACCGGCACGACGCGTTATCTTCAAGACTCCCTACGTGGGACGTGACTTTTTGACAAAATCCCGCTATTTGCAGATGTGTGGACGTGCCGGTCGCGCCGGCCTGGACGAGTTTGGCGAGTCATTTCTCCTCCTCTCCCGCAGAGACTGCCAGCGGGGGCAGGAGTTGATGCGGAAGGAGGTGGAGGTGTGCGCGAGTCAAATGCTGCTCCAGGCAAGTCTGTTTGAAAGGGCCCTGTTAGAGTGTGTGTCGGTGGGCGTCATACGATCGCCCGCCAACGCCCAAGCGTGGATGGGAAACCTCCTCTGCCACCATGCAACTGGACCCTTCGACGCGGTTTACGACGTCGCCTCAAAGCCGTTGCCGGTGGCGTTGGACGGAATTCTGCAGTCGACCATGGACCAGCTGATTCGGAGTGGCTTGGTGCAGCGTGTTTCGTCGCGACCGGGGCCGGACGAGGGTGACTGTGCGGCCGCCACGCAGCGGCCTGGCGCGAGCGCCGAGGAGGAGGTTTCGTTGTCTGCGACTCCGTTTGGCGCCTGTTCCGTGCGGTCGTGCTTCAGCGTGGAGGAGGCCCTGCTGGTGCGCGAGGAACTGGAAAATCTGCAGCGTACGGGGCTGATTCTGGCAGATGATCTTCACCTGTGCTACTTTTTAACGCCGCTGCGGGAGATTGGCGACTGTAACTGGTCGGCGTACCGCGACGTGCTCTCGCAGATGGGCGAAAATCGTCAGCGTATTGCCCACATGGTGGGCGTCGACGAGTTCTTCGTGCACCAGCGAGCCATGGGGCTGGGGGACCCGTACGGAGGCAACGCCAGCAGAACGTTTGCCACGCGGCGCTTTTTTGTCGCCCTGATGCTTGCCGACCTCCTCAGCGAGGTGCCGATGTCAGTTGTGGAGGAGCGCTATCAGTGCAACCGGGGGCAGCTGCAGAGCCTCATGCGCAGTGCCTCCATGTTTAGCAGCTCCATCACCAGCTTCTGCCGGGCCATGGAGTGGTTTTCGCTCGAGGCCGTGCTCGCGTCCTACGTGAAGCGGCTCGGCTTCGGGGTGAAGCCGGATATTGTGCCGCTGATGGAGCTACGCGGCCTGCAGCCGGCACGGGCGCGGGCGTTGTGGGCGGCGGGCTTCAAGGACCCCGCGGCGGTTGCGGCGAGTAACCCGGAGGAGTTGCTGCGGCGCGTGAAGAGCGCGAACCCGGCCGAAAACAAGTCGGTGAAGTTCTTCACACTCCGCTCCGCCGTGCGCCTGATACGCGAGGCGAACCTCCTGCTGCAGCATCACATTCGTGAGAAGAAGGGCGAACTGGTGGAGCTGACGCTGCGCTCGCGGGCCTCGCTCAGCTGAGGGCCGTGACTGTGGGTGCCGAAGAGAATTAAAACCGGGGGCCCGGCGGAGATAAACGCGGCGGCGTGGTGCGACTTTCCGCCTCTCCTCTCGCGAGGCTCTCCATCGCCGCGGGTGGAACGCCGTTCTGCTGAGCTTTTTTTTTTCTTGTTGTTGCTGTCGCCGCCCAAACCCGCAAACTCTCTCTCTTTTCCTCTGCCTTTGCTGCCTCTGTGCCCCTCCGTGAGGTTCGGTGGCGGTGGCGGTGGTGCTGGGAGGGGCTGAAAGAGACGTGGGCGGTTGGGGCGGCGGGAAAAGAAAAGCAAAGGGAGGAGCGGCAAAATTAGTGCTAGGCGCCAGGAGGACACGACAAATTTGACAGCACATGGCGGTGGCGGCGGCGGGCACGGCGCTCTTTCTCCTCGGCGCATCCATGGCGCTGGTGGTGGCCGTGGCGTCGTGGGGTCGGCGTTGTCACGTCCACGCGAGCGTCGCCGTTGCGATCCTCCCGCTTGCTGCCCTTCTGACGCTTGCATTCACCGTGTCTGCGCAGAAGCTGGTGGAGTACGTGCACGAGACGGCGCAACTCGGCATGGTTCCCTCGTTCCTCGCCTCCATGCTGCGGAGGGTGCGCCCCGTAGCTGGCGACTCCATCACGCTGCTAGACATCCAACTCGTGTCGCTTCTTCTGTTTCTCTCCTACGCGTCGATGGTGGTGCTGCGACATCTCGTGGACATCTTGCGCCTGCTGAAGGTGTCACGTCGGCGTCTCTTTGTGAAGTAACGCGACACCAGCGTTTCGCGGAGGCGTTGGCGTAGGGCCGAGGCCTTGGATTGTTTATATATATATATATTTTGCACTGTCGCATGCGGCGGCGCTCTCTTCTCCACCAACGCCGTTGTTGTTGTGTTTCTTTTTGTTGTTGCTCTTTTGCCTTGCATCCTGCTCAGGCCACTGCTCCGCTGTTTTCTCTTCTTCCCCGTTTGCTTGCCTTGCTTTTTTTTTTGCCTTTTTCCTTTTCTGCGCCTCGTGTGGCACACGCCGGCAGCTGCAGCACGGCGGATGTCGGACGGGAGGGAAGTGGAGCTGTTCGGCGGCGCCATCCGCTGCCGCCTCCCCGCCACCGCCGCCGACGTGAGCGACTTCAGGCAGGTGCCCGACACGCAGGAGGTGTACGCCGAGGCGGAGACCGGCACGTGCATCATCGTCGAGCTCCTCGCCCGCCAGGCCGACGTGCGCGACGAGGACTGCGGGGCGTTTTTCTTCGCTGACCTCGCACGCGCGAACGACTGCGGCGGCGGGGACTTCACCCTCGACGTCCAGCGGCCGCTCGCGCCGGCGGATTACCCCCACGTGGCGCAGCTGCCCGCCGGGGCGGCCCCGGCGAGCGGGCGACGGTGCGCGTACGGCTGCCTCGCGCATGGGGTGCAGCGCATCTCGAAGTACACGAATGAGCGCGGGAGGGAGAACGAGGTGTTCGTTGCCCTCGCAGTGCTGCGCTTCCCGCCGTCCGTCTCGTCGGACGTGCTGCTCTCCGTCTCCGCACCTCAGTGGATTCATCCGGAGAGCAGCGAGGCTCGCGTGGTGCGGCAACTCCGCGGGAGAGAGGAGGTGCTCGCGGTGCTGCGGCGTGCACTGCTGTCCTTTGAGGTGCGGGACTGGTCGCTGTTTGTGCCGGAGGACTGAGCGGCGTCTCGCGTGGTTCCGCCTGTCCCCACTCTCTTGGTGATGCCTGCGTCTGCAGCTCTTTTGCGCCTCGCGCACGCGCGCGCGCTCTTTCTCTCTTTCTGCCTGTGTGTGTGTGTGTCTTTTTTTTTTGTATGTTCCTCCCTCTCTCTTTTTCTCTCTTTTTCTCTCTTTGTGGGTGTACGTGTGCCTCCTTCTGCGCCGTCGTCTGTTCTCCCCGCCGCGCGAGGCAAACCCACGCCCAGACTGCGTAGACCCCACACAAAAAGAAAAAAAACAAAAAAAAGAGGGACATCTGCCTTAGCAATAGAGCCCACAGCAACACCAGCAACAGCACCAGCCGCCCGAGGAAGAAAGAAGGAAGGCCCGTCCCGCGCGATCACCACCGAATGCTGCGCAAGATCGCCACCCCGTACAAAGTGTCCGTGCGCCGCACCGCCGCCACTGCGCCCGCCAACACCTCAAAGAAGGCGATTCTGCGCTTGATTCGCTTTGACCCGCAGACAAACAGGCAGCGCATAGAGAGCTACGAGTACGACAAGCACCATGACTACATGGTCCTCGACCTCATCACGGCGGTAAAGGCACACCAGGACCCTACGCTAGCTTTCCGGGCCTCCTGCTGCGAAGGCGTTTGCGGCAGCTGCGCCATGAACATTAACGGCATTAACAGCCTCGCCTGCATCACCTTCTCACAGCAGGTGACAACAGTGGGCCCGCTGCCCAACTTTCCCGTCATTAAGGACTTTGTTGTCGACCTTCGGCACTTCTTCCGGCAGTACGCGTACATCCGCCCATTTGTGCGCAACACCAACCTCGATCGCAGTCGCGTAGAAAACATCATGGAACGCTACGATACGCTTCGCAAGGTCATTTACGGCGTTGATCCCCGGGCGCTACCTGCAGGCTCGGAGGCGCCGCGGCGCGGCGGCGTGGAGTCGGAGGTGGTAGCGCTGCTCCGCCTCGTGGACGCACTTTGCGAGGCTGGCAACGTGACGCACCTTGTGAGTACCCTGGGGCTGCTGGAGGCGAAGGGCGTGCAGCTGGACCAGGCGAAGGTGAAGGCCCTCATCGAGGCAACGCTGCAGAAGCACGCCGAGCGCGCAAAATAACCGCGCGACCGAAGGGGGCGCTCCCTCCCTCCCTCCCTCCCCCACCTCAGGTGAGGGGAAGTGGGCAAGGAGAGAACGGTGGATTTCAACGCAAAAAAAGGAACCATAATAAACGAAAAAAAAAGAGATAGGGGGATTGCAGGGCGGTGCAGCGGAGCAGCAACAAACAGAAGGACAGGCGAAGACACCGGCAGGGAAAGCGGCTGGAGGGAGAACAAAGCCTCTGCCGTTTGGTGGAGTTTGAGGGGGACAGGCCTCCGCGGGCGTTCACTTGACGAGCACCGTCCGTGGCGGAGCGACTTTCCCCCATTTCTGTTGCCACGGCGAGACACACCCCTTTTCTGCTCTGCCTTGCGGCATGTAAGATTGCTGTGATCGCCGTACCAAGGCAGCGGCGCTGGGAGTGGCGTGCTGCGCGTTGGCGGGGCCGGCGTTGTTACATGGCACGGACGAAAGTATTTCAAAGCAAGAAGGTAATAAGGCACAAGAGAGAGGAATAGGGAGAGGACAATCCTTGCATTATTAGCTTCAGGCGTACTCGTTGCTTCAGCCGCCCAGAGCAGATAAGAAAAAAATGGGGAAGGTAGCGAGTGAGTGGGGGGAGGGGGAGTCGCGCTCTCCAAGTGAAAGTATGTGGCTTGTTTCTGAGCACAAAAGCGCTCATAGTTTGAATTTTTTTTTTGGGGGGTGGGGGGACTTAAACAAACTTAGGAAGGGGAAGACGTGAGGCGGCTTCTATTAATGGGGTCGTTCAGGGGAGCGGGGACGCAAAGAGTACGAACGAAGGAGCAAGGACACAGAACCAAACAAACAAACAAACAACTAAAAGAAATAATACATATAATATGTATATGTATATATATATATATATATATTGTGGTGAAAGTGCACGGTAGGATGTAGTTGTTCTCTGGATGGATGCTTTTAAACATTTCCTGACCTGCACCACAATTCCCCACCTCGCTCTGTGTGGTGGTGGTGGTGCTGGTGCTGGGGTGTATCTTTGATTGGCGTGGCGGGTGGCCCACTCGGGCACCGTCATGGGGCCTTTTCTCCTTTCCCTCTTTGCGTGTATATATTTTTATATGCATACATCTGTGCCTCTGCGCGTGTGGGTGGGGGTGTGTAGGTATGAGGATCTTTGCCGGTTCCCGTGGCTGCCTCTTTCCGCCCAATTGCCCCTCTCTCTCGTTTGTACCCAACTTGGCTCTTCCCTTTCTCGCCATTGTCTCCCTCCCCATAACTTCTTTTCTCTCACCTTTTTCCACTTGCACGCACGCAGCATCGCGATTTAATCCCCCAGGTTTTTTTTGTTTTCCAGGTGAACCGCGCAAAGTGAAGCCAACACACAATGGGAAGCGTTGCGGGTAAGCTCTCCTCCTGCTTTCGGGTATCCCGCTGGCGGGTACTGGAGCTCGTCATCCTTGCAGCTGTCATTGTGGCTTCCTCCATGCTCATTCTGTTTCTGCCGGCGTCACGGGTGTACTGTGGCATTGCCTTGGTCGTTGCCATCATCTGCGGATTGCGGCTGTGGCGGTTTTTACCCAGCGACAGGCGGCGCGTGTCGAAGGAGGCGCACAGGCTGGCAGACGCCATGTTGCTGGCACGTCAGGCGGCCGTTGGGGCTCCGCTGGCGGCGCAGTCCGTGCGCCCCGCCGTCCCCCAAGCTGCGCCTGAGCACTCCCCAGTTATTGCCTTCACACAGGATGCTCCAAGCCCGGAGCCTCAGCTCGCCTACGCTGCAACTGCGCCTGCCCAACAACTGGTGTCAGCGCCTGTGGCGCCGCTGCATCCACCACGGCAGTCTTTGCTGCTTAATTCCGTGCTGCTGCCACAGCAGCAGGCGGTGATGACATCTGCCTTCTCTCCCCAACACGCCTTGATGGCCTCCTCCATGGCGCTGCCATATTTACAGCAGCAGCAACAGCACGCCCTGCTCGCGGGTTCTATGGCGCCGACAAGCCAAATGTTTTTGGCTTCACCACAAGCGTCCCCTGCGCCAAAGGGATCATTGCCGAAAGGTCAACCTGTGGGAGACGCTGGAAATGTGCTGCCACAGCATCTGCTGGCTTCCAGGGGGTTAGCGCGGTTTGGCTGACTTCTGCGATAAAGGAAGAGCGGCGTTGAGCTCTCCATTCACTTCTTTTTACTTAGTTATTTTTTTTTTGATTTTGTCTTTGAAATTACTTTGTTTCTGCTCACCTGTGCGGAAGCAGCGGAGCTGGGCGTCCACATTCCCCTGCTGTTAGCTTAGGTACGGTTTTGGGTGTTGCTTCTGCTGACCTTCGGCCCTGTCGTCACTTTAGAATTTATTGCCATTATTAATCTTCTATTTATTCTGCTTGACAGGCAGCGCTGGGCCACACGTGATCTTTTTTTTGTTTTTGTACGAATGTGTGCGTGCTTGGTTGTTGCGTGTGTGTGTGTTTTTTCTTTTTTTTTGTGGGGCCGAAGCTTGTTGCTCGTGCGCCGTTTGTTATCACCACTCGTTTTTTGTTTTCTTCTTACGGCTGCTGTTGCTTCCGTTTTTTCCTTGCAGCCCGCCGCGGTGTCTCGAGTATTTTATTGAAGACACCGTGACGGCGCCTGCGGGTTTTTGTGTATATATATATATATACTTTTTGGGAGGCTTGGGCCGAGGGGAGAGGGGGCGCGGCCGGGCTGCGTCGCTTTGACTTTTTCCCGCAACTGGGGGGTGGCGGGGGGGGGGGGGGGGCGCTCTGCGCTTTCGCCGCGGCGGAGGCGAGAAAACCGACGGCACATGCCGGTCTCCCCCCGCCGCTTTCCGATGGACGCTGCGGAGGTGGGCGCTAAGCACACACACACCCCTTTATGCAGATGCCTCTTGACGCCGTTGCCGGCGTCCGTGCGCCGCTCCTTCTCCTCCTCCTCCGCTCGCCTCAGTTTCTTCTTCTCCCCGTGGGTGCGTCTCTGCTGAAGGGAAGAAGCCGGCCCATGGGCGCTGGCCGGGTGCACAACACGAACCGCCCGTCCGGTTTCTGCGGCTGGTGTGTCTGCTGCTGCCGGTACGTCCCTCCCGTCATTGCGGTGCTGTTGATTTTGGCCAACGTCATTCCGTACTATTTACAGTTCATCCCACGCCTCCACGAGGCGTACAGGAAGGGCGGCGTCTCGTGGTTCTACTGCGCCTACTGCCATATTGTCATGTTGATTGCGGAGGTGCTGGTATTTGTAAATCTCTTTCTAGCCATCCACACACCGCCGGGATACGTGAAGCGGGTGCCTTGGGCCAACATGCCCGTGTTTAGGGGCCGCGTCAACAGCGACAACATGAACGAGGTCCGCCGGCTTGGGCTCGATGGAAAGTTGCGCTACTGCAGCAAGTGCGAGTTGTACAAGCCAGACAATGCGCACCACTGTCGTACCTGCCGCCGCTGCATCTACGACATGGACCACCACTGCCCTTGGATCAACAACTGTGTTGGCCGCGACAATGCGAAGTTTTTTATACTCTTCCTCGCCTACATTCCGCTGGGTGGCTTTCATATCAGTGGCACGACGGTGTACAGCTGCATGTACCACTTTGATCTCTATCAGTCCTCTGATTTGCTCGCCGTGAGCGGCCTCATTTTTTCTTCGATTTTCTCGCTGGTAATGGCCATATCCTTCCTTATTTTTGCGGCACACTTCCTCTGGATGATGCTTCACGGCGAAACTACCGTTGGCAACCTCGTGTACAGCCGAAAGGGTGACGCGGGGCTGCTGAAGGAGGAACGGGAGCGATACCTGAACAACATCTTCGGCGTGAACCGCCGCTGGTGGAGTTTGATTTGCCCTTTGCATGTTGCGCGCCCCGCGTACGGAAATTCGCTGCAGGAGTTGCTGTGAGTTGCCCGCCCGCCCCCTACTATACTTGCCGCCGCCCCCGAAGCGTTCCCGCAAGTGCCAGCAAGGGGACACAAACGGTGTTACGCTAAGAGGAGGAGAAGCAAAAGCAGCAAGGGCATTAAAAATGGCCGTGCTCTCTTCGGAAAAGGACACGGAGATGGCCGTCTGCCACCTTTTTGCCCGCCTCCTCCTTTCGCTGTTGCTGCTCTTGTCGTTTTCCTCGTTGCGGGTCAGTCCCCGTGGCCGCGGGCAGCTGGTGCCCTCGTGGGACAAATTCCCTCAAAGAAGCCTCCGTCCCCTTTCAGTTCCACCTGCCTCTTTTTTTTTTTATTCTCTCTCCTTTTTCACCTTGCGTCTTCTTTTTTTTTTGACCGACACCCGCCTGGCGTGAGCTGCAGCTGCAGTGTTGTGCTCATAGCGTTTGCGGCCGCTTGCCTCCCCGCGAAGCCAATGACTTCGCAGGGGTCACGCTTCAGCAGGAGAGAGGGCGCATCTAGGCTCACGGATGAAGTGTTCAACATGCGCAATTTGCACAGCTACACGCCAAAGCACTGCGGTGAGGCCTGCTGCATGTGCTGCTCGTACTCGCCTCCGTGCATCATATTCTTTCTGATCGTCGTGCTTACGGTGGGGTATGACGCGTACTTTATCACCCTCTGTCTGAAGTTCCACGCGGACTGGCGCACTGCCTTCGCTGTGATTTGTATTCTCCTCGGCACCGCCGCCAGCGCGATGCTGCTGTGGGCGTTTCTGGGCGCCGTCACGACGGCCGCGGGGTACGTGCCTGCGGACCCGTGGAAGTACCCTCCCACGTACGTCGGGCGGCGCAAGGACTTTCAGCCGCCCGCGCCATCCTCCAACGGGGGGTCCAACCCCAACAGCGTCACACAGCTGGATAGGGCAAACCAGCTGCGTTACTGCGCGTCGTGCGAGCAGTATAAGCCAGATAATGCGTACCACTGCAACTTCTGCGCGCGCTGCACGTATCAGTTTGATCACCATTGCCCCGCCATCAATAACTGCATCGGACGCGACAACTATAAACTCTTTGTGACGTTCCTCGTCTACGTCGGCGTTGTGGGCTTCTTCAACGGGGGCCTGATGCTGATCGGCATCTTCGCCCTGGAAGGCGGCGATTGGAACATCGCGTGGATTATGTTCTCCGCTTTTATACTCGTTTTGGCCGTGACGCTCCTCAGCTTTGGTCTAACGCATGTGTGCTGGATCTGCCGCGGCCAGTCAACCATGTCGCGACACGTCGCCTCATTCAACCGGGAGGGGTCGCGGCGGCAGAGCAGGCAGCAGCTGGAGCAGAGTCGCCGGGCCCACTGGGACGCGGTGCTGGGCACCGACAGACGGTGGTGGCGCATGCTTCTTCCGCTGAGGCCCAGGTGGCCTGCTCCTGAAGAGACAGTTTGAAGAGCTCCGTAAAGCGATATATATATATATATGCATATGATCGCTCCTAAAATATTCAGTATAGGCGTATACGTAGAGATATACGTACAGGCATAAAATTGTTTATGGCGCCTCAAGCTGGCAGTGGAAGATGCTTGGAGTTGCTGCGAAGCGCGTTGCTGCATCCGAAACAGGAGCCGTCTACAGAGCACTCCTAGTCTTAGTATTGTCGTTGCTATTGGTATTTGTTTTCTCTTGTTGTTGTTGCTGTTGTGTGTGTGCCTGTGTGTGTGTGTGTGTTGCTTTCTTCGTTTGACGCGCCTCCGCCGTGTGTTCTTTTTTTTTGTTTCTCTCTCTCTCTCTCTTCAACGAGTGGGAGAAGCCGAGGAAGCAGGACAGCGAGACAGCCACGGTCGACGACGCGGACGCGGGTGAAAGGGACGGGGGAGCGGTGAGGAGTAGCGACACCGCGGGGCGAAGGATGCCTCCCTCCGTCGACGGCAAGTCAAAGCGTGACAGAGACAATCGACGGCCGCCGCAGCCGCAGCCGCGAGGCCCGCCGATGAACGGGCTGCTGCCGCCCATACGCAACGCCCCTCCGCCCACGCCGGTAGTCAAGGCACCCGACAGCTCGGCGGAGGAACTGCTGCTGCTTAAAAACCTCCTGCGCAAACAGCAGGACCGCTTGAAGGAGCGCGCGGAGCGCTCGGCGCACAGTTTGGAGAAAGCGCGGGAGACCAACTCCGACCACGCCTCCTCCGGCCTGGGCGAATCGGTGCCGACGCCGCAGTCCGTTCCCGAGAAGCTGCCGCTGAGCGTCGATGGCGCCCGCTACAGCTCGAATCACTTTCTCCCTTCCGTGCCACTGCCTCCCAGCCAGCAGCGGGAGACAGAGGCGGAGCCGCAGGAAAGGAAACCCCCGGTGGAGAATGAAGAGGAGAAGGAAATTCGCAAGCTGGAGGAGGATCTAGACCGGCGCCACTCACGCATGAACCGCCTCCAAAGTGAGATGGCGCGTTCCTGGAGGGAGCCCCAGCGTCAAAAGGCCGCCTCCCTCTCCCCACCGCCACCGCTTGTGATGCAGGCCAACACCGAGCGGGATATTATTGAACTGGCCACGTTGGTGTACAATTTCGCCGATTTGAAGCAGAAGCAGGAGGGGGGGCAAGGTGCGTCTGGCGCCCTTGTCTCTCCGTCGCAATTGGACGCCTCCTACATGTTTGACCCTGGCCGAGCCTCGTTCATGTCCACCGCGCTGGACCCGGAGCTCTCCATGAACAGCATAAACTTGGGACGGATGTCCATGCGCTCAAGCAGCGTTCTCCGCCTCACGGAGGGCACTCTTGCCCTTATGGACTCATTGGCCAATCAACGCGACGTCGTCCTCCCGTCCCCCAGCGAGATTGGAATGGTGCGCAGCGGCGACGTTCTCTCCGCAAACAACATTCTCGTTGTGGACCTGCAGGATGCACTGCGGAGTCACAAGGGGCCTACCGGCATCGTCGCCGGAGCCCCGTACTTTCGCATGGTGCCAAGGTTAAACGTGGCCGGTGTTGCCCAACCGAACATTAGCGCCATAAAAACAATTGTGAACGGGCTTCGTCGGGTCTACGATGGTGCGGTTGTGTGGGTAAATCTTCGCGAGGAGCCTCTTATTTATATCAATAACCAGGCACACATTGTTCGCGATCGGAAGGATCCGCTGACACCGATGATCATCCCAAACGTCACCGGCCGCAGCATCGCGCAGATTGAGGAGAAGCTGAAGCAGGAAGTATTACAGGAGGCGCGTGAAAACGGTGGAAACGTGAGTGTGCACGTACAGGGGGGGAATGGCGTCATGGAGGATCAGTGGGAAAGCGCGGATGTGGGAAATGTGCTGACGTTGCAGGACGCCTTTAACTTGCTGCGAAAAAATGTGGTCTTTTTCCGTCGCCCCATTACGCGTAATGTTGGGCCGCAACCACCGGACTTTGATTTCGTGTTCAACACATGTATGGAGTACCCACGCGCGGTGGTGGCCTTCAACTGCCAAACAGGGCGAGGGAAGTCGAGTTCGCTGATGATGATGGCTAGCATTGTCCGCTTTTACCAAGTGTGTGGCCACGACGCCTCGTTGGATGTCCGCCTACTGCGGAGTGAGGCCCACTGCTTCCGCTTCCGCACCATCAAGAAGATTATCTCACTGCTCCCCGACGGCAAACTGCACGAGCGTCGGCTTATGATTCTGCTGGAGCTCTCCGACAAGATGTACTCCATCGCGGAGCACATCTACGCCGCCTTTTACACCGGCACGGCCTCGGCGGAGGAGGCCATGATGCACCTGCAGCAGTACGCCTACTTTCTCGTCTTTTCGTACTACTGCGAGCAGCGGCTTTGGAACTTTAACATCAAAGCCCCCTTCAGTGAGTGGCTCGCGGACAATAACGAGTTGCGGCTCCTCATTGACAGCATCCGGTCGATGGAAGAGGAGTTTAAGGAGGAGCGCATTGTGGCCCCCGTTGCGCAGGGAGAAGAGGCGTGGGCCGCCGGTATTGTGCGCCGCCGCCGCGGCAACGTGCTGAGTGCCGGCCGCATCCTGTGCAGTTTGCCCATGGCCTCGGACAGCGTGAATCATGTCAACGCACTGCGGCAGCTGGCACCGGATGTCCCCATCTTCACCTGCGGGCGGTTGTCAGAGGCTGGCCGCCTCTCGCTGATGTCGGAGTTGGCGCAGCACTTCTCAGAGCAGAAAAATATTCTCTGGCTGAGTCTTCGCGCGGAGCCGATGGTGTTCATCAACGACGTCAGCTACACCTTGTCCGACTACGACACGATCTCCAGCAACACGGCTGAGCTGGCGTCGACCATGCATGTGTCTCTAAATGCCATGGAGCAAATGGAGGAGCGCCTGCGCCGCGATGTCCTTTTAGAGGCGCAGGAGCAGAAGGGTGTGATACTGCTGCATCACATTGAAGATAATAACGCTCGCTCCACGCTGCGCGTCAAGGTGCGTTCCGTCTGCACCCCCAAGCTCACCATGGCGAATTTCGCGGAGAAGTTCGGCATCTCATACCACCGCATTCCTATTCCATACGCCGGTCAAATGTTGGCCTCCGACGTGGATCCCTTTTTGGAGTACTTGAGTAAGAGCTGCGCCGAGCATGACGTGTTCATCATCAACGATAGCGAGGGCTCCACGCGTACCACCGTTGCCCTAAACCTGCTCACCCTCTACCGGGCCTCGCGGGTGCGGAACCTGCGCATGATTACCACCCCGGAGGAGTTTAAGGAGGTCCTGCGCGTTGGCCACGACGGGGTGGTGCTGCCCTCCGCCCATATTTTAGACTCGCTCGCGGTGAACCCAGACGAGGTGCCGGCGACGCCAATCGTACTGCAGGTGGCGTCCACCATATGCCAAATGCTCACCGCGGGCTCCCTGCTCCGCGTCGTGGAGGCGGCCCTCACCCTTGGGGGGCGCGGCACACGATGGAACCTTCTGCACATGCTAAACCGCTACAAGTTGGAGATGTTGGATTCCATCAACAAGACGAAGAGCACACGCAATGCGGTTCGCTCGGTACGCACCTATCTGCTGGTGCTACTCAGCGCCATCTACATTGACTCCGTGGGCGACTACAGCGCGGAAGAGCCCTTTAGTGACTGGGTGGAGAAGCGGACGGAGGTGGCAAACATCATTGAAAATCTTGAGCAGCGCCCCGAGCAGTCCATCAAGTACATGGAGGCCCGTCCGTCCGTCAAGGAAGGATTCCCCAACCGCAACGGAGATGTGTTGACGGCAAACTTTGTGCTCAAGGCGGACCACTTTCCAGGGTGCCAGAAGAAGGGGTTGCGGCCGGAGTTGTGTGGCGCACCAAACTTCCGCAAGGTGGACGTGGTCAACGTCTATGGCGTGGCGATTCCCACCCTGCGGGGCATAAACAACGTCCTCTCCCTGCTTGGGGCCTCGGCGGAGCCGCTGCAGACATACCCAGGCGAGAGCAATGACAATGAGTTGCACATTGGTTTTGCGGCACCGCGGCTCTTTGCGCCGCACTTTGTCCAGGAGGAACTCGCGAAGCCGTTGCGTGGCAGCGTTGTTTGGGTGAATCTTCGCGAGGAGCCAATTTTGTATGTGGGCGATCGGCCGTTTGTGCTTCGAAATATTGATGCCCCGTACGTCAATGTGGAGTTGACCGGCATTGCGGCCCACAAGGCGGAGGAGGTGGAAATTCAAATGAGGAAAGATGTGCTGAAGGAGGCGTCCCTGCAGGGCGGCATGTTTCTCGTGAGCGACGAAGGCGAACCCGGTGAACTGGTTGGCATATGGGAGCCGGCAACGGAGGAAACGGTCAAGACGGTGCGAGACGTGTATAATGAGTTGGCGGCACGAGGCATTCGTGTAACAATGCTGCGACTACCCGTGACCGACGAGCAGAGTCCCGGCGTGGATGACTTTGATGGACTCGTCGCCGCCTTGCTTCCCAGCATTGCCGCCCACATGGATCGTCGCGAGACGCTGTCGTTTGTATTTAATTGCCAGATGGGGCGCGGCCGCACCACAACCGGTATGGTGATCTGCTGCATGCTGATTGGCCTCGTGATACCGGAGTACTACGATGAGCTAAACAACAGGTTTAACCCCCTTTACAAGCCAGAGGAATCGCAGTTGTCGCGTGGGGACTACGGGTGCATTGTGCAGCTGAAGCGAGTTCTCACGGGGGGACGCCAGGCAAAGCACCAGGTCGACCTCGTGTTGGAGGCTTGCAGCCAGATGCAAAACCTCCGCACCGCGATTGAGAACTTTGCGCTGCAGTTGAAGTCGCCAGACGTCACCGAGGAGCAGCGAGGGCGGGCACACCATCACGGGGTGCACTACCTGCGTCGGTACTTCAACCTCATCGTCTTCGCCGCCTACCTGCAGGAGGAGTATAACCCTCTGAAGAGGGTCCTGCGCTCCACGTTCTCGGTGTGGCTGGGGCAGCGGCCCGAGCTGACGACGTTGTGCGACTCCGCATCACTCAAGTAGCCGTATTTGTACTAATATCAATTGAATAAGAACCTGTATGCGTTTTGCCCCATTTTTGCTTCCTTACTTTTCTTTCCGTTGCACCTTGTGGTGAACTCAACGGGTAAATTTATGTGAAGATGTGTGTGTGTTTTTTTTTCTGTTTTAGTATCCTTTTCTGTTGTTTACACGTGTAGATGCCTCTTGCGTGTAATCCGTGCTGCCGTGGGTGGGGGGGGGTGGGGGTGGGGGGAGTCACCTCCCCGAATTCTGTGGCCACAGACCTACGCGCCGCGTGTGCAGAAGAGCGAAAAAACAAAAACAAAAACAAAAAATGTATGGTGTGTGTTTGTGTGTGTTTTCCTCTTTTTTTTTCTTCTACTTTGTTTGTAACCGAACTTAACTGAGGGCTCGCAACCATTTGGCCAGCATGGGGCGGCCCCGTGGAAAGTACGAAGCAAGTGAAGAATGCTAGAGAGGGAGATGTCCTTGGTGTAGGTGGAGGCACCGTTTGTCTTGGTGGCCGCTGTTTTTATGTGTAAGAGAAAGATTGGCATGCGTGCTTTATTTCTTTCCTTTTTCTTTTCCAGTTTGCTGATTTTTTTTTTCGCCAATTACGCAGCTTATTGTTTATTGACCCTAGAATGTGCCCATGCGGGTGCCATCTGTATGCATGTATGTTTCTCTGCGTGTATGTGTTTTCCTCTCCCTCCCTCTGCTCGCCTTGCCCAGGCTGAGTGGTAATGTGCATGTATGACATCCACGACCGCCATCACTCTTGATAGCGCTGCTGCGCGGACGCATGGATGGCTGGTGGTATAAGTCTCCATGTGCATTTATGAGTGGGTCGGTGTGAGTGTGTGGTGCCTGCATGCATGTGTGCTTGTTTTTTTTATGTGTGTGTTTCCCTGTCTTTGTGTTCCTCTGCTTCTCCAGGCTGAGTCCTTTTTTGTCCTCCTCCTTCATGCTCGTTTTCTTTCACTCACGTGTCGTGGGGTAACTTGTTGTTGTTTTTTCTGTGTCTGTGTCTGTGTCTGTGTCTGTGTCTGTGTGTGGGTGTTTGTGTGGCGCCGGACAGACTTGAAGTGGGCTGGGGGTGCGGTGGGGGAGTTAGAGATTTGGCCGGAGTCGCAAAGGCGCAGGACGCACGATGGAGTTGCCGTTCCAGTGGGATGACGGGAAGTTTATCTCCCCATTCGTTGCCAGCAGCGCAGACGCGTTGGCGGCGCTTGCGGCGTGGATGAAGGACTCGCCGCTGCTTCAGCTGCAACACGGCGGGGCACTGCGGCTCACAGACCTCGGCTGCGGCGACGGCGCCGCGCTGCTGTCCCTGAGCGCCGCGTTGTGCGCGCCGCAAGGCGCCGGCGACCACAGTGACGACGTGGCCCCTCTGCAGCTGACGGTCGTCGGGTTGGACCTTGACGAGGAACTCGTCCTCGCCGCGCGGCGTCGCGCGGCGGCACTGACGGTGCCGCCGCCGCACCGTCTTCACTGCACCTTTGCGAC